TACTGGAGTGGGTTGCTGTGCCCTCCGCCAGGCAAACTAATCTATAAGTAACTACACTGCCTTCTCTAAAGAAGTCCAATACTCTTCAAGAGAGTACAAGAGAATCTTACTAGGCAAGGCTACAATGCCCAGTGTCAATATTTTTAAATTATGAGCTATACAAAGAGGTAGAAAAATCCCATAGTTAAGAGAAAAATCAGTCAACAGGAGTAGACCAAGCAATGACAAGAAAGACAGTATTAACAGAAGAGAATATTCATGCAGCCATTGTGAATTTGTTCCATATGTTCAAGGCTATAAAGGAAAACATAAGCTTGATGTGGAGAGAAACTGGGTATAAAAATGACTGCTGTACTGATGAAAACAGCACCTGAAGTGAAAAGCACACTTGATGAGATTAATAGCAGATTTGATAATATAGAAGAAAGATCAATGAACTTGAAAACACAGCAGCAGATACTGCACAAAATGAAGTTCAGAGAGAAAATAGACCAAACAAAGAAGAAGAATGCCCTGGGTCTCAGAGATTATGGAGTGATTCAAATGGTCTATGATATGTATAATTAGAGAGCCAGAAAGGAGGGGGGTAGACAAACCAATTTGAGGAAAAAAAATCTGCAAACATTACAAATTTGATAAAAATCCACAGGCTCAACTCGATGAATGTCAAGTTGAATGAGCATAAGAAAGTCATACCAAGGCCTATCGTAATCAAATTGCTGAAAATCAGCAGAAAAGAGAAAGCCAGAAAAGCAGAAAAAAGAGAAATTACATATAGAGGAAAAACAACAGTAAAAGCTTTTGGTTACTTTGATCAAGAATAAGGGAGGGGACTTCCTTGGTGGTTCAGTGGTTAAGAATCCACTTTCCAAGGCAGGGGACATGGGTTTGATCCCTAGTTAGGGACCTAAGATTCCACATGCCACAGGGCATCTAAGCCCACATGCTCTAGAGCCTGCGCCCCACAACTAGAGAGACACCCACACAGAAGACCCAACACAGCCATAAAAAAATAAACATTAAAAACAAAAAGGGAGGACAATCTACTGTGTACTAGGTGCTATGCTAGACCCCTGAGCCCTACGAATACTTACTAATGGTCTGCTCTTATCTGTGACTTTGTTCTATAAGTGAAAATAAATGTTAACATATGTGATAAGTAAAAATTCTCTGCATGTCTCAGCAATCCCTGAAAAAAAAAATAAAAAGAATATGGATAGACAAAAGTCACCAAGGTAAGTAAAGAGGAACATTACTATCAATTCTATAGACAGTTAAGGATAATAAGAAAATATTATGAAAAGGTTTAATACCAATAAAATTGACAATCTAAATGGAATGGGCAAAGTCCTCAAAAGACACAAATTGCCCAAGGTTGACTGAAGCCAAAAATGGATGACCTGAGTGCGTGTGTGTGCTAAGTCACTTCAGTTGTGTCCAACTCTTTGCAACCCTATGGACTTCAGCCTGCCAGGCTCCTCTGTCCTTGGGATTCTCCAGGCCAGGAATACTGGAATGGGTTGCCAAGCCCTCCTCCAGGGGATCTTCCCAACCCAGAGATGGAACTAGCATCTCTTATGTCTCCTACACTGGCAGGTGGATTCTTTACCACTAGCATCACCTGGGAAGCCCATGACATGAGTAAATCCAATATAAATCATAGAAACTGAATTTATACCTTAAAAGCATCCCACCAAAAACCACTTCATGGCAAATAGATGGGGAAACAGTGGAAACAGTGGCTGACTATTTTTCTGGGCTCCAAAATCACTGCAGATGGTGACTGCAACCATGAAATTAAAAGACACTTACTCCTTGGAAAGAAAGTTATGACCAACCTAGACAGCATATTAAAAAGCAGAGACATTACTTTGCCAACAAAGGTCCGTATAGTAAAGGCTATGGTTTTTCCAGTGGTCATGTATGGATGTGAGAGTTGGACTATAAAGAAAGCTGAGCGCCGAAGAATTGATGCTTTTGAACTGTGGTGTTGGAGAAGACTCTTGAGAGTCCCTTCGACTACAAGGAGATCCAACCAGTCCATCCTAAAGGAGATCAGTCCTGGGTGTTCATTGGAGGGACTGATGTTGAAGCTGAAACTCCAATACTTTGGCCACCTGATGTGAAGAGCTGACTCATTGGAAAAGACCCTGATGCTGGGAGGGATTGAGCGCAGGAGGAGAAAGGGATGACAGAGGATGAGATGGTTGGATGGCATCACTGACTCAATGGACATGGGTTTGGGTGGACTCTGGGAGTTGGTGATGAACACGGAGGTCTGGCGTGCTGCGGTTCATGGGGTTGCAGAGCTGGACATGACCGAGCGACTGAACTGAACTGAACTGAAAAAACATTCTAGGCCTAGATGGCTTCCTTGGTGAATGCTATCAAATATTTATAAAGAAACATTACCACTCCTACATAAGGATAAATACAAAAAACATACCTTTGTTATTTTTTAATCTTTTAAAAATGATATTTGACTATCTAAAGAAAAATAGCAACATACTGTGGGCCTTTGTAGAAACAATGCATATGACAACAAAAGCACAAGTGAAATGTTTCTATGATGGTATACTTTTATAACATTCTTACATTACACATGAGATGGTATAACATTCATGAAGGTAGACTGTGATAAGCTAAAGATATATGAACATTGTAAACCCTAGCGAACTCACTTAAAAAAGGCAAAAAGTTGAGTTAATAATAAGCCAACTACTAAAAATATTCAATTAAATCCAATAAAAGGCAGGATAAAAATTTAGAATGGGAAAAACTAAATCTAAATGAGAAAGTGGGCTTCCCTAGTGGCTCATTGATAAAGAATCCACCTGCCAATGCAGGAGCCTTGAGTTTGATTCGAGGGTCAGGACAATCCCCTGGAGAAGGAAATGGCACCCCATTCCAGTATTCTTGCCTGGGAAACCCCATGGATTGAGGAGCCTGGTGGGCTACAGTCCACCAGGGTGCAAAAGAGTCAGACACAACTTAGTGACTGAACAACAATATAAATGAAGAAAGGTTAAATAAATCATGGATTAATGATATAACGAAATGTTATGCAGTGGCTGAAATAATTTGAGTTTTTGATGTTATATGATATAAAGTTAAAAGTAGGGTAAAACACTTGCTCTTAAAATACTTTTAACCTAAATAACTCTACAAAATATTTATAATCATAGAAAAATATATGACTGTGAAGAAATGCACTAGGTATAAGCAGTGTTTATAATTCAGTGGCAAGATGATTGGTGATAGTTGCTTCTATAAGGTTTTTTTAAGTAAGATGCAGCCCAATGATGATTAAGGATATAAACACAAGATTTTTGGTCACCTCAGCCAGGGTTTGGTTCCTGGCTCTGTCACTTGCTAGCTGACTGAACGTTGCCAGATCAATTTCTCTGCATCTCAGTTGCCTCCTCTGCCAAATGCACTTAAGAGCATCTACCTCAGTGTCATTTAGACTTCCCTGGTGACTGGTGACTCAGATGGTAAAGTCTGCCTGCAATGTGGGAGACCCAGGGTCAGTCCCTGGGCCGGGATAATCCCCTGGAGAAGCAAATGGCAATCCACTCCAGAATGTTTGCCTGGAAAATCCCACGGATAAAGGAAACTGGCAGGCTACTGTCGATGGGGTAGCCAAGAGTCAGACACAACTGCCTAACTAACACATATACAGTGTCATTTTGAATTTTCAAAGAGATAAGGTGAATAAAGTGTGTAGCCAAGGGTCTGGCACAAAGCTAAGATTCATTGGGGAATTCGTTTGTAACCTTCATAAAAAGAGTAAAAAGTTTTAAAGACAAAGTTTCTTTTGAAAGAAACCCTCATTAACAAAAGCAATGGGGGTATAGGTCAGAACCAGGACAGGGCTCAGAACAACCAGCGCTCAAGTCTTCCCAGTATCTCACCAGCATCTCACTAAGCTCTAAATGGTAATCAGTGTCTCAGAGAATTCAAAGAAATGCCACCAGCTCCCACAATACCTACCAGGATGGGGACTGGGGTTCTAAACCAGAGATTCACGCCTCCCCTCACTTCCCTCTTGCTTCCTCTTCCCTCTCTGCTGGGCCAGGCACAGGGCATCCCACTACGTCTAAATTCACTCCTCACTTCTGGCCATTTTCCCAGGCCCAATCCCTGGGACTGAGATTCTGATTGGCTCAACTGTAGTCAGGTGTCCAGCCATGGTCCCATCAAAGATGACCAAGGGGGTGGAGTCCAGTGCAAACATGGCGGCTTTGGGTTCCTGTTTTGGGGAAGGGTGGAGGGAACCTTGTAGGCTAGATGGACCACCTGCCCCATCCCCACCCCCAGATTGTCTGCAGCTGTCCTCTCTGCTCAAGCTTTTCTTCCTCCTCCATGATGCAGACTGCTCACGGCCACCCAGCCATGATAGGGGGAGCCTGCTGCGGTCAGCCACGGCCACCGTTCCCGGGAGTTCGCTGTTGGCTGTGGGCTGGGCTGCCCCCAACTTTGTCACTTAAACTCTCCTGGGTTTCCCTGGCACGTGCCACAGTTGGTAACAAATTGCCAGGCTGCTGGGCTAGAGTCTGACTGGGGTGGTCTCTTCTGGATTCCATGGTTTTTGCTAAAGAGAGGGGTCAGTTCTTCCAGGTAAATGGGTTCTCTGGCAAAACGTGACCTTCGGCAGCACTTTAGTCAGAAAACACAAAGGTTGGTCTAAGAAAAGCATGATCTGCCACACACACACACATTCTTACCCCTCTCTCTGCAGAAATAAAGAAACAAAAGACTAATGTATAATTTTTTTTTTTAAATTCTCACTGCAGTCCCCCGCTCCCCGCCCCATCCCTCTGTCTGTGGACCACTTCTGCAGGCTACAGGGGACTATTGGAACAAAGCTGGGGCCTGGCGCCCCCACTACGCTGCCAGACCCAGAGAACAAGTTACAATCACAAATTATCACAACAATTAGCAGCTACACTTGGGAGATGGGTAAAGTGAGGCGGCCCAGCTCTGCATTGTCAGCTGGTCTATTTGGCGGTGACCTTGTTCTGGAGGCGATGATATTCCTTCAGCCTGTAAACCAGATTCAAAACAAAGAAAAATGTAAATTAACAATAACAACATGCACTCAGTTCAATTAATTCAGGCAGAGCTGGGGTGGCGGGGGGCAGCTGTTTGTTAAGACGTGTGAAGTTGTCTTTTCATTCTCCCTCTCTCCTCTCCTGCCCTGGTCCCTCCTGCCCTCCAATCAGGATAATGTAATTAATTTATCTTAGGGGGAAAACATTGCTTGTCATTGTTGCAGACAAAGCATTTAACTGGCGATGGGAGAAGTGAAGAGGCCATTATGAAAACCCAGTGTGTTTCGAGCCATTTAAAAGGGTTAGAGTCATAAAACGCAGGGTGAAGGAGGCAGGGAGGTGGAGGTGACGGCCCGCCTGGGTTCGATGTCTCTCCCAGTCTTGGCTCCAGGAGAAAGTGGGTCCGTGCTGAGGGCATGTTATCAGGGAAAGGAAAGAGACTCATGCCTTCTTCTTGACCCCGTGCCCCCAGGAGAAGGAAGCTAGTGCTTAAGAACCCAGAGCCTGATAGACTGGTTGCCAAGCACCGTGCCCTTCCTGGGCACCAGGGTCTGGGCTTAGTGCTGGATATCCATGGCCTGCACTTGAACTTCCACCACACCTGTGAGGCAGATATGATTAACACCCCACTAGTGATTTCTAGAGGTTCGGAAGGGGTCTGAACCCAAACTGCAGGACTAGGACTTGAACCCAGGTCTGAGTGGCCTCAGTTGGTATGCATCACGCACCCTGGGCCACGGAGATCTGTGTCTCCAGTTAGACCTGCATGGGGACGAGAAGGCAGGAGCTGGTGACCTTCTGTGGCTCCCTTCTACCTCTTGGCCGTCTCCCTTGCTAAGCTGCTCAGGAAAGGGACTCCTGGTGGAGTCCCTGTGGCTGGAGAGGGTGGGATTGAGTGTCAGAGGCAACTCAGAAACCCGGAACTCAATGCCCAGAACTCTGTTGCCCTTGGCTGTCACACCTGGAGGGTCTGAGGGCCCATCAGGGGCCAGGGCTTCTCACCTGAGGGAGTTGATGTTGATGAAACCAGTGGCGTCAACTGGCTCGTAGTCTCCCTGAACGTTCATGCTGCAAAAGAGTGGGAACTCGTCAGCATCCCAGGGGCCATGGCCTGGCATCCGGAGGACCCCAGGCTCACAGACACCCAGGTGTTTCCCGTGTGAATCCAACCCTCCCTGCACTCTAGCTCGTCACTGTTTTCCTTCCGGTTCAGGGAGCCCTACCCTGTGCCGGGGCTGGAGAGCAGGGAGCCACATCCCTGCCATGCAGATGGGCGGGTTGGGTCCTGGCCCCACCAGTGCCAGCCGGGTGAACTCCTGCCACCAACCAGAGCACTGCACCTGTAACCTCAGGACACGCAATGGAGCCACCTCTGCCCTCAGGGTGTCCGGGAAGACCCGATGATGTCCAGCGGTCTGAAGGCCTGGGAGGCCGGGGTTACACACGTGACGGTGTTCTGCAAGCTGCGGGGAGGCCCCAGCCTTCAAGGTTTGTCCTCAAAGCCTTTTTCACCCCGTCGGCCCAGCGAGTGAGACTGAGTCTAATCCATCTTCAAACCTGGGCACCCACCCCATGCCAGCTGGTCGGTGAAAAAGGCACCGTCAACTCCTGTTGCCCTCAGTAGATTTTTTTTTCCTTCCCAATCTACGGTTTCCATCTTACAGATCCAACAGCCTTCCTCTTGATTGCTCTCACTTAGCTGTCCTTCGGAACCCTTCCCAACCACAGTCATTCAGATCCGGTCACCTGGTTGTGTATCCTGGCTCCACCCCCAGCACAGACCTTAGGGCAAATATTTTTGCTCTTTGAGCTCCAGTCTTCCATTTGTGAAATGGGGCCCTCATCGTTAACACTTGTTGTCGTTTAGTCGCTGAGTCGTGTCCGACTCTTTTGACCCCATGGACTGTAGCCCGCCAGGCTCCTTGGCCCATGGGATCTCCCAGGCCAGAGTCCTGGAGCGGGCTGCCATTTCCCCTCTAGGGGATCTTCCCGACCCAGGGCTCGAACCCCACATCTCCAGCGTTGCAGGCAGATTCTTTCCTGCTGAGCCAGCCAGGAAGCCCCTCCAGCATTGTCACTGGCTCCACATAAAATGATGTAGCTGGCATCTGGCAGGCACTCAGCGGCACTAACATCACTCATGCACCTGTTCATTCACTCAGGTATTTATTAAGCACCTACTACCCGCCAGGCACCGGGCCAGATGCTGAGGAAACAAAGGACCAGGCAGGGGCAGCTCCCACGAGGGCGGGGCGGGGGGTGCAGACATAAGCAATCAATCACCCACCTGCCCTCGGTAGTTTACTGACTGTGATCCGCTCTTTGACGACAAGTTCAGGGTGTTCTGGCCTCCAATCTGACTCTACCAGGCCACCCTCCGAATCCCCCTGGGGGAAGGGGTCCCTCCCGTTTCTCAGGGGGCCCCTGTTGCATCCTGCCCTGAATCAGCCCCTTGTCTTCATGTCTGCAGAAATCTAGCCTCAGGATAAAGCCGTCTCAAGGTTCTCAGGGACAAGGAGGTGGCCTGCCCCCTCAGGACCCTTCTCCAGAGAGGTAAGATGGGGGGGTTGGGGGGTGGGGGGAGCTAAGGGGGTCTGCCGTTCTTTTTCCCAGACCCTGAGGCTGTGTCTCTGACTGGCTCTTTGTGGACTGTGGGCTTGCAGACTGTCAGGGGAGGTTACAAAAAAAAAAAAAAATCATTGTAAACTGAAGTCTCCGCACCGGGTTGCCCTGTGGCTTGTCGGGACTCGGGCTCTGGGCCTCCCTCCACACGCCCTTGCCCTGACCTTCACGGGACCTTGAAGCTGACACATGGAACTCCCACGCTCCCTCCTTTTCACCTCCACGACTCTTCCAGGGCTCAGGTGGCTGAAGTCACCAGGAGCTGATTAGCAGGCTCCTGGTGAGCAGAGAAGATACCAGGCTTCCAGGGGGCTGCTGCTTGGGACCCTTCCCCGGGCAGGGGAGAGGCTGGACCAAACTAAAGCATCGGCCTTCTCCAACGGCTTTTACAGATGTTGCTGGGGTGATAAATGAAGCTTAACACCAGCCCTCCCTGAGCCGCCCACCCCCCGTCCCCACCAATCACTGAACAGACTTTGGACACCTGGCCTCACTCCTGCTCTCCAAGCTGCCATGTCCCCTTTGGAGGGTCCCTGCATTCAGCCCAGGGAGAAAGCAAGGCCGGACCCTGTTCCCCTCCTCCCTGGCAGGCCGGCTATCTCTCATGAGTCAAAACAAACTCTCCCACCCTCCTTGCTCAGACTGGCTCTTCAGACCACCCCGGCAGCCCCTGCCGAAGAGAAGCCCACCTCTGGGACAAACTTGTCCCACCAGACTGCCTAGGAGTCCCAGAGGTGTTTCTGGGGAACTGAAAAACCTCTCTTAAAAAACTGTAGTTTGGGTGGTGTGGTGGCGGGGGGGTGCGCTGTGGAAAAAGAGTTTACAATGATTTTTTTTTTTACCTCCCCTGACGGTCTACAGAAAACCTCTGTGCTTTTATTTTTGTTCATTCGAGTGGCTCTGACCTGCTCTGTAATTACGTTACTTTCTACCTACTGTGCCGCGGCATTTCCAGTTCTGCTACCTCTAGGGGCTTCCTCGCCGGTCCCTGTGACGCTGTCACTCAAGGGCTTTCAAGTCAGCGATGTAGAAATCAGAAAGAAAAGGGAAATGGTCGGAGACACAGTGAGAATAAATGCTCCTGCTTTTCTCTCTTTTTTTCCCCTTTCCCTTTTTACTTTATTCATTTAATCTCCCCGAGTGAGACTGTAAGGCTTAATGAAGGGTTGGACAGATTATTAGAGGCTGTAGATTTGGAGGGGGAGGGAAGAAAGAGCCAGAGAGAGAAAGAGAGAAGATAATTTGACATTTACCCCGACTGATCTAAACTGATTCGGTTATATTTATGGCTTATAAAGTGTTTAGAAAGATTGAAGGGGGGGAGAGAAATGTAACATGGCAAAGAGAACAGAGAGAGAAAAATAATATTGACTGCCAAACAAAACTCGTACTTTAATTCCCGATTGCCTTCCGGGAGGGGAGAGCTGGCTTCAGCCGGGGCCACGCAGGGCCTGGGACTTGCGTCAGGTGGGGTTGCCTGTCCCCACCTCTTGTTTGACCAGGTGACCTCCAGAGGGGCCACTTGGCTCTACGGTCAAGGCCAGTCTCTCATTCAAGATGCAAACACAGGTACAGCTAATAGGCACCTGCTAAAGAATCTGCCTGCAATGTGGGAGACCCAGGTTCGATCCCTGGGTCAGGAAGATCCCCTGGAGAAGAGAAAGGCAACCCACTCCAGTATTCTTGCCTGGGAAATCCCATGGACAGAGGAGCCTGGTGGGCTACAGTCCATGGGGTCACAAGAGTCAGACTGAGCGACTAACCCTTTCACACTTTCACCTTTGACCCAGCCTGCCAGGGCTCCCCAACCTCGCCCACAGCCATTCAGCTCCCTCACCCTGGCCCATCGGGGAGGCAGCTCTCCTGACTCCCTCTCACCCAACTCTGCCCCTCCCCTTAGCAGTCTCCTCTTGGCCATACCACCCAGTGTCTTCAGCCTACGTTTTTCCTTAACTCTAGTCCTGTGTGTCCAGCTGCCAACAATAGTTCTCCTGGCCCAAATCTCAAAGAAAACTAACCCTCAAGATGTCCGAATCCAAATGCTTGATTTTCCCCCATTCTCTCAACACAGTCACCGCCATCAAAGTGTACCCAGCGGTTCATGCCGGAAAGCCCCGGGTGGTTCTGAACTTTCCCATCTCTCTCCCCATTCAAGCCCTTTTAATTCCAGTTCCTAAATATCTGCCAAATCCATCTGCTGCTCTCTATTCCCAGAATGCAACAGACTGGTCCAAGCCTCCAGCATGTCCCACTGGGAGGCCTGGTGTCCACCCTTGCCAGCTCCCACCTCACTTAAATCCAGAGCAGCCAGAGAGGACCAAAGCCACAGGTCTGATGTGTCCATCCTTTACAATCTGGCTCTAGGGCCCTCCCACCCTGGAGTTCTTATTGTGCTGGGGATGTTCTGGGTTCTTCCATGACTCGGACTCTCTGCACGGGACAGTTTCTCTGGAAATGCTCCCACCCACCTCTCCCCCTGGTACACTCCTTTCTTTTGGAGACCAGCTCAGAGATGACTTCCACGGTGATGCGACTCCACATCCCTATTATTATACCCAGCCCAAGTATCCTATATCTCTGGGTGGTCCAGCACCACTTTCCCTAATCCTACACTCGGGTGATCCTCTGGGGCTTTCTCCCCATCTAGCCTGTACGTTCCATGAGGACAGAGCTGGTGTGGATGCTCTTCGGGACTGTCTCCTCCATGCCTGGCACATGCTTGGGAGCATTCTTGCTGAGAAAGCCAGTGAGAGGAGATGCTGGACCTGAGGGTCTGTGCCTAGCTGGGGGTGGGGTGGGGGCACCTACCTCACGAGCTCCTCATTGTAGAGGGACAGTGGGGACTCCCGACCAAGGATGTACACCTGGCCCTTGAAGACGGACACCTGCACTTTCCCTTCCACGCGCTCCTGGGACTTGGCAATGCAGTGGCGGACAAATTCACACTCGGGGCTGTGCCAGAAACCTGTGGGGAGGAAGAAACAAGGGTGCTAGTGAGGCCGCTGCATTGTCTGCCCCAGGCCAGGATGTAGAGGGAACTGGGATCCACGTGGGGCACCCCCCAGCCTTGCCCCGTCATGGCAGACGTGAGCCTGGGAGGGAGGCGGTCCTGAATCTATGTTGTTCAATGTGGAGTCCTGGCTCAATGTGCACTTGTCAATGACCACACCGAGGAGCAAGCCCACCTGCCCGGTCCTGTGACCTTGTAGGGTTCTCCCCCTATCCCTGCTAGGATGCAGTCACCTCTTAAGGGTCAGGAGGAGGGGAATCTAACCTACTGATTCATGCCACAGATATTCAGGGGGCTCCACAGGTCAGGTACTGGGGAGACAGTGGTGAAGGGGCCCCCATCTGTTGCCCACAGGGGGCTCAGTCGTATCAGGGCAGCAGACCTCAAGTAGGACTCAGATATATGTTACCAAGTGATGGGGGTGCCCAGCTGGGTGGTGGGTTTGGGGTCAGCAAGACCAGGCGTGTGGGGCCTTCACCTCTCTGTGCCTGTTCCCCCATCTGCTAAGCGGGAATGACCCTACCTTCCTGCACCCCCAGAACTAGCAGGCTTACTGTGTGTAGAGGCTGTGGGCTCGGGACTGCTGTGAACACTGGGCCAAGAGCCAGGCAGAGCCCCACCCCTCAGAATGGGCAGACCCCTTACCCATGCCCCCTGCACTGGAAGCTTGGAGTCTTAACCACTGGACCACTAGGGAAGTTCCTGGACTAGCTCTTTGAATCCTCCCAAAGAGTCTTGGGACAAAAATTTCTCTTAGCCTCTCTTTTTTCTGTGTGAGGAAGTTAGGCTCAGGGAATTTGAGACTTTTCCCCGATCACACAGGCTGTAGCGGTGGGGGCTGGACCTGACCTCAGGGGGCCCGAGCCCTAACAACTCTGCTTTGTATGATTGTCTTGCAGCTTTGTCGTCTGCATCTCAAACACCCCTGAAATGCCTGAGAAATGCATTGCACCCCACCCCTCCTGCCCCAAACCTCTCAGGCCAGGGAGGGCTGTGTGTTCAGTCCCGTCTCTGCTGAGGGCAGGGGGGCCGTGATCGGGGTTGGGGGAGGGACAGGGTGAGGGGTAGGATTTCTCTGAAACGGAGCTGGAAAGGCGAGCCCACCTGGGCAGCTGTGGGGCCAGATGGTGTGTGATCTCCTGCCCTGATAAAGGGTCAGGTCAGCCCCAGGTCTGTGGCTATTGTTGGAGACTCAAGCCTCCGGGGGCACCTGCGGAGGCTCTCCGTGGGAATGGGGAGCAGGCCCTCCCTGCGATGGGCCCGGGGGCTCGCAGACATCAGGGAGGGCCGGGCAGGGAGAGAAGGGGTCAGGTCCTCACTCTGCGATGCCCACCTCCGGCTCCACCTTGACAGCCCATGTGGCCCCTGTGCCTCAGTTTCCTCCTTTGCACAGTCAGGCGCTACTAACCACACTCCAGGGGCTGTGTGGACTCAGCGAGCCCTTCTGCTTTTGAGATCTGAATGTGGCCTCTGCCGGTCCTCACTGTATCCAGGGCGACAGACAGCCCGAGAGGGAGAGAACCTTTCCAGCGCACACAGCGAGATCGGGAGTGCTCCTGCCTCTAGCCCGGACTCCCGTGGCGGGGGCGAGGCATGGGGACGGGACCCTGAGGGCCACACACCCCTCCCCACCCCGTGCCCCAGGGGCTCGGCCATCTTTTTAAGTCAGGGTAATTAGCCCCTTAGGTTCACAGGTCGGAAGAGAGGGGGCGATGTAGCCAGAGAAGAGGGCAAAGAACCCAATAGGGGCTCCTGGGCTTTTATCTCCCAGTAGGAGCTTTCATAACCCAGTAGGAGCTTTCATAACCCAGTAGGAGCTTTCATAACCCAGTGGGAGCTTTCATAACCCAGTGGGGGCTTTCATAACCCAGTAGGAGCTTTCATAACCCAGTGGGGGCTTTCATAACCCAGTAGGAGCTTTCATAACCCAGTAGGAGCTTTCATAACCCAGTGGGGGCTTTCATAACCCAGTAGGAGCTTTCATAACCCAGTGGGGGCTTTCATAACCCAGTAGGAGCTTTCATAACCCAGTGGGGGCTTTCATAACCCAGTAGGGGCTTTCATAACCCAGTAGGAGCTTTCATAACCCAGTAGGGGCTTTCATAACCCAGTAGGAGCTCTCATAACCCAGTAGGAGCTTTCATAACCCAGTAGGAGCTCTCATAACCCAGTAGGAGCTTTCATAACCCAGTGGGGGCTCCTGGGCTTTTTGTCTCCCCTGTTGCCTCCACGGGGGCCTTGCGCTCAGCTTTCTCTTCCCAGCAGAACCAACCCGCGGTGGGGGGACAGTGCGCCCGGAGCACTGCCCTGGGGAGACCCTGAGTGTCCCAGGCTGGGGGTGCATGGTGGGTGGGGCTGAGCCAATCTCTGTATTAATTAGGATGATGACCCTCTATGTATTGTACCCATTTTACTGTTGAAGAAACTGAGGTGAGGGGAGAGGTGAGCTACCCCCTAAATGAGAGGGGCCCTGAAGCTGGGGTCCTGCCAGGATGACCCTGCGGGGTGACACCCATGTCTGCTCCTTGAGGGAAGGTGTCTGTGCAGACCTCATACAGGCACATTAGGAAATTCGAGAATGGCATGAGAGGAAGGAGAGACAGTGGTCACAGAAGCCAGGGCAGCTGGGAGTGGCCCCGAGACAGAAGAGCTTTCTTGAGCCTTGGTCTTCCCGGGCCCAGAGACCACAGGGGCTCTGAGGAAGCCAAGGAATGATAGATCTGCAGGGGGAGCTAGACAGAACAAGAAGGGATCTGGCCCAGTGCCCTTTATCTTACAGGAGGGGAAACTGAAGCTGAGGGAGGAGACAGACCTACCCAGCCAGAGGCATAACCCTGTTCTCCTGTGTTCACACTCGGAGACCAGGTCAGGCACTCTTCTAGAGGCTTTGCAAATATCTATGTAATGCATATGTGCTAAGTCACTTCAGTCGTGTCCGACTCTTTGCAACCCTAGGGACTGTAGTCCACCAGGATTCTCTGTCCATGGGATTCTCCAGGCAAGAATATTGGAGTGGGTTGCCATTTCCTTCTCTAGGGGATCTTCCCAACCCAGGGATCAAACCTGTGTCTCTTGTATCTTTGGCATCGGCAGGCGGGTTCTTTACCACTCATGCTACCTGGGAAGCCCATATCTATGTATTGAGTCCTCACTGTAAGATAGGCAGCCTTATCTCCACTCTTCAGATGAAGAAACTGAGGCACAGGGGGCTTAAGGAACATGCTGAAACTAAACCCCACTCTAACATTTATGCATCCCTAACGTGAGAAATCCTATCACACAGCCCCTTGGAGCTGTTGAGGGAACAGGCTGCTATCAGAGGCTGACCTTGACATCTATGGGGGCCTGGACATTAGAGGCACCTGGCTGAACAACTACCTGGGAGGGGCCTCCACTCTGAGGTTTCATTTCCTTTGAAACCTAATCACTGTAACCTTTGGGGATTTAGGGGGCTCAGTGGGTGACAGCAAGGACTCAACACAGGCAGCCCAGGGCAGAGACACCAGCCCCTCAGCTGGGGGCCAGACACTCAGGGTGGGCCTGTACACGCCAGTGCCCCTCGATCACCCCTTGCAAATGGCCTCAGCCCACCTTCCCATCCCCCAGTATCTACTGAAGTGCCCAAGGACTTGGCCTCTGAAGCCAGCTTGTCCTGGGCTCCAAGCCACGGCTCAGCAGCTCTGAAACCTTGGACAAGCATTTTCATCTCACCTCTGTGCAGCTAAGATTAGGTAATACCCAGCTCAGGGCCGGGCAGCAAGAGGCAGCAGCCGATCTAGCATGGGGAGCCTGGCAGCCTGGTCCCTGCTCGGCCTCCACAGACGCCCCAGGAGCAGCCTCGGCCAGGTGCTGTCCCCCATCACAGCCTGCCACGGCTTAATGATTCTCCCGCTTTGTAACCCAAATCCACCTTTCAGCGTGGAAACCCCACTGAGCACGAGAGTCCGCAGGAGACAATGGTATTTAAACACCTGTCTGTACCTGGGAAGAGGGGGGCCCTGGGGTTTCAAAGCTGCTGGGAACAATGGGAGGGAAAAATAATGCCAGCCAATAACCACCACATTGCCCTGAAACCCCGAGATGAGTTACAGCTATTCCAAGGTTTCAGAGGAAGCAAAACCTCCAAGTGGGGGGCCAGTGGAAGAGGTGAGACTTATACACCAGGCAGTTACTATGAATATTAACTTTCGTGGGGTCCCTCTGACATCCAGGCTCCCAGAGAATGGCAGGTCATCCTCCCAACAGCTGAGAGGGGCTGTTATGTGATTTCTCAAATTAGGGAGATGTGAATGTTACAGAATAGGGTCAATCCTTTCTGGGAAGGGCCAGATAGTAAGTATTTTAGGCTCTACGGGCCATGTAGCTCCTCTAGTTACTACTCACCTATGCCAGAGCAGTTCCAAAGTGGCCCCAGACAACAACATGGACACAAACGAGCAAGGTGGAGCCAAAAAAACTATTTGTTGTTGTTTAGTTGTGAAGTCATGTCTGACTCTTTTGTGATCCCATAGATCGTAGCCTGCCAGGTTTTTCTGTCCATGGGATTTTCAAGGCAAGAATATTGCAATTGGTGGGCCATTTCCTTCTCCAAAAAACTATTTATGGATGCTGAAATTTGAATTTCCTATGATTTTCATATTACATGAAATAGCTACTACTTAAAAAAAATTTCTCCAACCATTGAAAAATGTAAAAACTAGTCTTAGCTCATGGGCTGAACAAAAACAGGCAACAGGTTGGATTTCATCACTCCTAGTATAATGTCTGGGATGGATCTGGAGTCAGGAGGCCTGGTCAGATGGCACGTGAGGCATGGAAACTCAGTCTCCTCACCTGTGAAATGGGTACTTTGACAGTACCTGGTGGCTTCCCAGTGGGGATCTGGCCCATGTAGTGCTCAGGCCCTGTTCTTAGCCAAGGTAGGCTTTCTCTTGCTTGAGGCAGTTCATAGAGTGGCTCTGGGTTCTGCCTGGAGACAGGCTGACCTGAGGTCCAGCCCAGTTTGGCCACTTCCAGTTGGGTAATTCTCTATAAGCTCCGTTTGCCCGGAGCCTTGGTTTCTGGCCGCAGCTCTCTTAGGAACTTGGGGGAGGGAGGCCCCCAGGGATGGTTCGTGTCCCCACATGGTGCCAGGCACCTGGCACATGTTGGATGAAACTTGGAAGGATGCTGCCCTGGCCCCCGCTGCGGTCCCATGGGCTGCAGGCAGCAGGGCAGCGGGACACCTGGGGAACTGGCGCGCTTCCCTCAAGACCTCGTGAACACGGCAGGTCCCACCGTCCCCTCCGCGCTCCGTGTCCCCTGCCTTCTCTCCAGCCCCTTCAACCTGCAGCTTCCAGGCTCTCACGCAGGTGGCAGTGGGTGAGTTGGGACCGGGGGGAGGAGGGTGCCCCTGGGTCAGGGAGGGGAGGGAGCCAGCTGCAGGGTCTACGCACCCGTGTAGACCAGCTCGGCAAATTTCAAGCCCAGGCCTTGCTTGATTTTGCGTACTTCCCGGTCCATGGTGAAGGCCTCGATGTCTAAATGAGCGTGGTAAAGGATCGTCCCTGCTGGGGTCTCGTAGATACCTAGCCATTTTTCCAGGCAGGGGGAAGAGAAGAAAAAAAGAGAGAAACGCATGAAACCCAAACTGTCAGCCAATGACAAAAAAAAAATAATAATAATGACTCGTCTGACAGGAGACAAGCCAGTCGGACCCATTCACTCCCAGCTTGCTGCAAAATGCATCTGCCATTATGTTCACGCTGGGGCCACGACAGTCCACTCTGCGGCTTGTGGAGAAAATGTCTAGATGCCCCCCTTTGCAGAGGCCCTCAGACGCTGGAAAATGACAGGGTTTCAGAGCCGCTCCCCCCTCCTCCCCAACTCATGCCCACCGGCCCGCAGCTGAAAACCTGTAATTAAACCGATTCTGCTGGAGCCCAGGGCCCTGAACGTCCCTTCCTGCCTTCCCCCAGGGAGCCAGGGGAGGGGATGGTGTTCACACACATGCACACGTGTGGACACGTGTGCACACACATGCCAGTTTTGGCTGGCGGCTCCCCTGCAGCCTTGTCTCTGCAGAGAAATCCTCACCACCTTGGTCAACTTGGGGCTGACCCCGCTCTACTGATGGGGAAACTGAGCCCGGGAAGGGGAGGGACGTAGCTGAAGTGGAGCTGGGAACGGGATCTGGGCCCCTAAGTCCCTGAGTGGTGCTGTCTGCTGCCCTGTGGACCAGCAGGTGATGAGGCCAGACCCAGAAGGTCATGGGGAGATGGTCTTGATCTGTGCCCTCCCCATCATCTCTGGCCCAAATCCTCCATTTGCTAAACAACCTGCTTGAACCACGCTGTCTCCAAGTGACAAGGGGGCACCTGGCCCTGGGCTGAGTGTGGCCCTGGGAGGGAGATCTGATGAGTGCATGCCACCCTAGGTTTGGGGACACTCAGGCACCAAGAGGGAGGATTGGCCCCGGCAATCCTGGCAGTATAGCCCCATGAGTCAAGTTCGGGTGAGCACCTTGGATAAACCTGCCTTGTGTCTGCTGTCCTGATGGGATGCTCATAACCCTCCCCGATGAACGCCACCCCCAAAAGTCCCTTTCTTCCCACCAAATAATGTTATGGTGTTAAAGGGGCAGATTTTTGGTTTTCCTCAAAATTTACGTGGTTATCTTTCCGCAGAAGGGATTCACACACCCAAGTTCATGGCAGCATTATGCATAAGAGCCAAAAGGTGGAAGCAATCAAAATGCCCAACAACAGATGGATGGATAAACAGAAAGAGATATTTCCATAGTGAAATATTCAGCCTTAAAAGGAAGTCCTGATACATGCAAGGACAAGATGCGCAGTGAAATCAACCAGAGATAAATCACCAAGAGACAAATTCTGTGTCATCCTGCTTACGCAAGGTTCCTAAAGGAGTCCAGTTCATAGAAACCAAGTAGAATGCTGGGTACCAGGGGCTGGGGAGGAGGAGAGGGGAGTTGGTGTTTAATGGAGCTTCGCTTTAGAAAGATGAAAGAGTTCTGGAGATGCAGGCTAGTGCTTACACAACGTGAATGTTGTATTTAATGCCACTAAACAGTACACTCAAAACAGTTTAAATGACAAGCTTTATGTTTTGTATTTGTTGCTGTTCAGTTGCTAAGTCATATCCAATTCTTTGTGAACCCATGGACTGCAGCACGCTGGACTTCCCTTGGAAGTCTCTTGGACATCTCTTGGAGTTTGCTCAAATTCATGTTCATTGAGTCAGTGATGCTATCTAACCATCTCAACCTCTGCTCCCCGCTTCTTTTGCCTTCAGTCTTTCCCAGCATCAGGATTTTTTCCAATGCTTTGTATTTTACCACAATTTAAAAATGCTTAAAAAAAAAAAAAAACAAAACCCAAAACCCAAACCAAAAAGGAGGAAATTGTTTAAACTCTGAAGTCCATAGGGGACACGAACAAGGTTGTGTCTGATGTGAGTAGCCAGAAATTTTCTCCTCTGAGGACTTCTCTAGTCTTTAATCTTTAAGTCTGGGAATCCACAGAAATGTCAGGATCCTTAAGGATGGCCTGTATTTTCCTAACTCAGCTGCAAACCCAGCATTCAAACATCCTTAGGCGGAAGCTCAACATACACAAAGATGAGGTCTAGCTGTGGGGAGCAGAGAACCCCCTGCAAACCCTGGACTCCACAAGCAGTCCTTAAAAATCCTGATTTGGCCCAGCACACCCATTTCACAGATGGGGAGACTGAGACCTGCCTCTGAATTTTCCATCTCTGCTCTTGGTTGCCTCTTAGGCCTTTTGCAAAGTGATCCAGTGCTCACCAAGCATGAAGGGGACACCCAAGTCTGAAGTGCTGTGGCCAAAGAAGAGTGTTCCCAAGGCTCTGAGGTGCTCCAGAGTGGAAAAGAGCCTCTCTATGGGGAATCGAGTCTCTTATCTGCAAACCCCCCACATCCTGGGGTTCGGGGACATGCACGTCAGAGAGGCAAGGCACTGCTAGGACACACCGGTCCTGTTTCACTCATGTGGCCGCAGCTCTTGGGCCACTTATGCTGTCCTGAATCAGTTGTGGGGGTAAATGCCTCCCCGATAGGAAAACACCACCATCCCCCAGTTCCCGCAGCAGGCCCAAGCCCTCAACTCCGTGGGGAGTGCCTCAGGCCACCCCCCACCCCTCATCATGACTCTCATAAACACTGTTCAAACCAGCTCTGCCATCCAGGTCCACAGACTGCCTCAGAGACACAAGCCCTCAAGAGCTTAGCAGGGCTGACAGCGTGGGAGGCAGATGGGTGGCTGAGAAAATGACAGTGTGAGACGGGGCACAGGGACACAGAAAACCCATGAAACGCAGACGAGAACTCAGCACAGGCTTTGGGGCTGGCTCCTTCTGGGGACAGCTGTTCAGTTACTCAGTTGTGTCTTGGCAACCCCATGGACTGCAGCACGCCAGGCTTCCCTGTCCTTCACCATCGTCCGGAGTTTGCTCAAACTCATGTCCACTGATTCGGGGACAGTAGGGTGGCTTCCAATGACCCCAGGCCACTGAGAAAGGCCTGATGTTTACAGCAGTCTGTTTACAATGCTAGAAGTGTGCAGAGCTTTTGGAAACATCTGCCTCCAAAAAAAAAAAAAAAAAAAAATGACAGAAATAACCACAAGGTAAAAGGGGCAAGCTTTCAATTATACTAGAAACTTTATCACCAAAAGCCAAGAGCAAAACAATAGCAAAGCCTTATTTGTCTTCTCATTCTAGCAACTCAATATATATTTACTATATACTGGGCTCCCCAGGCGGCTCAGGGGTAAAGAATCTGCCTGACAATGCAAGAGACGTAAGAGATACAGGTTCGGTCCCTGGGTAGGGCTGATCCCCTGGAGGAGGAAATGGCAACCCATTCCAGCATCGTTGCCTGGGAAATCCCATGGACAGAGGAGCCTGGTGGGCTATAGTCCATGGCGTCCCAAACAATCAGACATGACTGAGGACTCAGCACTACATACTAGGAATTCAGTATTTACTGGACTAGAAATGGGCCTTCTAATTCTTCCTAATTATTACTTTTGCCACATTTTGGAAAAACCCGGAAACTTTCAAACCTGCTTGGAAAAGGAGACGGTGGCAAGTGTCGACTGCTTTTTTGACTAAGTCCCACCGAGACCCACCTGAAGGTGAGCACCCACACAACGTCCCCGGTGCTTATGTGGTTTCGTTTCTGGAACACTGCAGCCAGCTCCCTAGCATCACCTCCCTACAGTCCAGAGACGAAACAGGACCAGTCACTGGCAGAGGTGAGAGGACATCCATGCTTTCCATCGAGGAAGAGCTATGACTTGTCCTAGCCCTCCACCCCCGTTGTTATTTAGTCGCTCAGTCGTGTCCGACTCTTTGTGATGCTATGGACTGTAGCCCGCCAGGCTCCTCTGTCCATGGGATTCTCCAGGCAAGAATACTGGGGTGGGTTGCCATTTCCTTCTCCAGGGGGGTCTTCCCAGCCCGGGGATTGAACCCGCATCTCCTGCATTGGCAGGCAAGTTCTTTGCCACTGAGTCACCCGAGAAGCCCCCGTCCCTCACCACCACCCCCAAACCGCCCCATCATCGCTGTCCCCAGGAAAAGAGCAGAGAGTATCTGGTGGACAGTCACCCATTCCGGAGCCCTCAGAATCAGCCACAGGACCGTCAGCCCTCCGAGGGCGCCGCGGGGAGTTGTAGGCAAGAAGAGAATCCTCAGCCGTGAAACACACCAGCACGATTAATATTCCTGTTCCTTGCCTTAGAAGGTGTTAAAGTTAATTGTGACTGATCAAAAAGCTTGTTTTCAGGTTGCTGCTGTCGTGTGTGTGTGTGCGCGTGTGTGTGTATTAAAGCTTTCCCTCTCCTCTCCACAGGGATGGGGGTACAGATGATTTCTGTGTATTTCTTCTGAAAAAAAAAAAAAAAAACACTTAAAAAAAAACCCAGTGACAGAATCCTGATGCTTAAAGACTATGGATTTAGGGCTTTTGACAGTCGGCATACAAACCACTGCGCAAAAAGAAGGAGGAAATGACAGCTGAGTCTCGGTGTCGCTGGGGAAGAGACAACAGACATCTTCCGAGTGACACGCACAGCGGATTCAAGTGTCTATTTTCATCTCCCCGTGTTTACAGGAAAAAGACAGAGGTGTCAGCGGTTCTCTGCGGAGCGGCTTCAATCACACCATAATTACTGCCGAGGAGCGGGTGGGGGAGAAGGGCGAGGAGCTAGGGGGCAGCTGGGGTGGGGGGAGAGTGGACCGAGGAGGAAGAGGTGGGAACCAAAACAGCTGCGGCCGCTTAAATTTTTCTCATCTGTTTTCCCAAGGCTGCCAGGTTAGCCCAGAAATTGAGCAATTTGGCAGAATTGAGTGGGATCGGCCAACTCGGCCGGGGGGTGGGGGTGCAGATGTGGAGGTTAAGGCACCTGGACCACCGCCTCTGGTCCTTTGGGTAAGCAGTGTCCAGAGGAAGGGATTCAGAAAGGCCGGGGGAGGGAAGCTGGGCTGGAGCCCAAGAGCTCCCAGTTTAGGCCCCAAGGAGAGAGGCAGTTGCCATGGTGATGGGGAGGCAAGTCCCGGTGGGTTGCTAGCCTTCCTCTATGCTCCCAGTGCCCCACGGGCCCCACCCTGGGAATCAGGGTGGGCCTCTGACGCTGGCTACTCTGGGCTTCTGGGAATGCGAACACCTTTGCCTCACAGATCTCCCTCCAATCTGGAATGTTCCATCTGAGCGGAGACTCTGGGAGGTCTGGAAAGGCGGGAGGCAACTCTCAAGTCTTTCTTCACCAGGAAGTGATGGCGTAAGGAGAAAGTGAGAGAGGAGGGGAGGATGTGAGAGAGATGGGAAGGATGGGAGAGTGATGGGAAGGAGGGAGGAAGATGGAAGAGCGTGGAAGGGAGGAGTGGAGGGGAGAACAGAAGGCAGGTGGAGAGGAGAGGGCGGAGGGAGTCACAGAGGGAAGCGGCAGAGGTGAGACCCGTGGGGCAGGGCTGGGGGAGAGGAACCAGCCGGGGAGAGGGTGAGGGAAGGACCAGCGCCAGCTCCTTCTCGGCTTCCCTCCTGCCTGCCTCGCCCCCCTCCTCCTCCCCACTGATTTCATTTACTTCACTGAATTAGCCCCCCTCCAGAGTTAAAAAGATAATGTGATAATGACGATGTGAACAGCCACAATACAGAGAAAGCTACTCCATCTGCGGCTTCCCCAGCCCCTGGCCCACTGACCCCATGGCCCCAAGTGCCGCAGACCTGGCCACCCCAGACCCGGGACATTAGCACTGCCAGCTTCCTACCCACCCGCCCTCCCCCACCCCGGCAAAAAAAAAAAAAAAAATAGTCCTTAACCAATTTCAACTCTAAGCTTTGTAAAATCAATACAAATGACATTTCCCCCTTGTACACCAACATATGAACAATAGCACCTTCCTGCTCTGCCCTCCATACAATTGACAATTAACAGCTTTTCCTCTGACCATAGACCTAATAAAAATCTTGTGGGCGAATCCACGATGTCCTCCTTTATTGCCCCTCTTTCTTTCTCACAGTGACTTACTGGGAGTGGAGAAATAAAAAACAAGACCTTCCCCTAAAATTATGAAGCTACTTTCCTTTCTTACTTCCCAAGTCAGAAAATAGGCAAGGTACAACTTGCCGAGAGAGAAGGTGAGACACCCTAGTGTGCCCACCTTTGCTGGTGGGAGTTGCAGAGACAGAAAGCAGTTTGCCTGAGGACACACAGCAAGCAACTCTCAGGCTAAATCCTATGCTTTTAGGGAAAGCCCCCCAGAGGTGCACACGCAGTACTTGGGCAGCGTGAGGGCTCTGCTCCAGGAATCCTCCTCAGGTGGATGGTAAGAAGCCAAGGGAGTTGGAACTGAGTGCTAACCTCATGGCTCCAGTCTTCAAGGTGATGATACCCCCAGTTCTGGGGAGGAGGTAGGAAGCCTACCTCCAGGCATGGCACCCACTATAGGTCAACACAGAGGTGTTTGATCCGCACAACAACCCATTTCACGGATGAAGCCTCTCTGAAGAGGCCAAGGCAGGCAGTCAAGTCTGGTACCCAAGCCTGGCCCCTGACACCAGCCCTTCAATGCGCCTCTGCCAGGCATCCAGGAGGCCGGCCAGCCTCACACCTAACCCATCACCCACTGGCCACTTAGGCTGCTCCTACCACTCATACTGGAAGGCTCCCACTCCATTCTATTCCACCTTCTTCTACCATGAAGTCTATTCTCCTGCCACCTCTTTCAGGGCGTCTTCCCAGAATAGTCCAGTCCACTTGGGTGCCATTTCACAGAGTGATCTCAGGCTATTTATCCATTGTCAGCACTGTTGATCTGCACCCACAGCCAGTGATGCCTGCCTTGGACAGAGAAAGGACATGATCATGGTGCAGATTGGACAGTTCCCAGAGGGCAAAGGCCACCTTTGCCCTTTCAGCATCCCTATGGGACTGCTGCATTTAAGAAGCTCTTCCACTGGGCCAGTTCCTGCTCATACACATGGGCTAGAACCCGGATCTGCCCCACCGCAGAGTTCAAGCTCTCAGCCCTCCACCCCATGCCTCTCTGGGACTCAACATTAGTCCTGACCCTACCACCAATGTGCCTGTGATTTGAAGCCTTGGTTTCCCCGCCTGTAAAGCGAGGGTGCTGGGCTCTGGCTCACTGAGGTCCTTCCAGGGTCTGCCTCAGATAATCTGCATTGTGCTGCTTCCCAAGGGCAAAGTGAGACAAAGGGACATTTAATCAGATGTTAATATAGGTAAGACACAAAGGTAAGTGAGGGTACAAGGGAGCAGCTAATTAGTAATATTGTTCTCCACAAGGTCTTCTCGAGACTTTCAATTAGGTTGTTTTTCACAATAACAGTCTTGTCGAGGAGGAAAAAAACACACACACGAGAGGCAAAGCCACTTTCCTTCCGTCTTCCCATTTTGAGATAAATTCAAACAGGTCAGAGCCAGAATGATCCAACTCCTGTCCCAACCGCCTGCCACATTGCACCTGGGGAAACTGAGCTACCAAGTCCAAGGTCATTAGGAGCAGTGAACCTGAACTCCACGTGGGAGCCCTGGCACCCTGCCTCGAGGACCAGTGCCCTGACCTGAAATCTGCCGTCAGTTCTCTTTGGATCTTAGAGTCTTAGTGAAAACATCCCGAGAGACAAAGGGCCGTGACCTTGGCCTGGTTTTCTTTGGTTGTGTCATCTTTTTAACTTGACCTTAGCAAAGCGAGCTGAACACCTGCTCACACAAGGACCTTAATCCCACCACCGCTATTCCTAACGGCTGGCTTGCCCCTCCCTCGTGGAAGTCAGAAGCACGCAGCTTTGCTTCATCACGGGGGACATGAGATCTCGAACGGGATGGGGGTTGGGCACAGTCGAGACGACCCGAGGAAGGACTGAGAGGGAACCGCGGGCTCTGCGTCTGCTTGGGGACCAGCCTCACCTCCTTCCAGGCCCAGCCAGAGGTGGATATGGGCTGGGGGGCCACTCATCACCAAAGCAGAGCCCCACCCCAGCATCATGCAGAAAGTCCATCCTAAAGGAAATCAACTCCGAATACACATTGGAAGGACTGATGCTGAAGCTGAAACTCCAGTTCTTTGGCCACCTGATGTGAAGAGTCTACCCATTGGAAAAGACCCTGAAGCTGGGAAAGATTGGAGGCAGGAGAAGAAGGCGGCGACAGAGGATGAGATGGTTGGATGGCATGATCAACTCAATGGACATGAGTTTGAGCAAGCTCTGAGAGATGGTGAAGGACAGAGAAACCTGGTGTGCTGCAGTCCATGGGGTTGCAGAGTCAGACACGACGGAGCGACTGGACAACGACCATGTCATGAGACAGGCCCTCAAGCTCTGGCTAGCTCATAGCGCCCACTCCTGGAGAGATTCCCACCCTGCCAGGCCAGCTGGCCTCCTCAATGTCGCCTTCATGACCAAGAAATCGGCCCTTGTGGCCCGCCTCTAAGCCTGGCTGACCTGCCGCCCGGGGCATGGGAGTGCCTGACCTCCGGGCCCTGGGCCCGCCTCCTTTCTCCTCTGTGCCTCTCCCTGCTCCAGGGACAGCTCTTCTTCTGATGCCATCGAAGGCAGTGGTCAAGGGTCCCTCATCCCCACTTCGCAGAAGGGAAACTGTCTGGCAGGGTGAAAGGACTTGCCCGAAGTCAGCAATGCTGGAACACGATGGGGGTGGGGATGTGTGTGTGTCAGGGGCCTCTGGGAGCCGAGCCATGCCCCCAAGGGTGGCGAGCAGACTTACCCCGGGACTTCATCCCGATGAAGCGGTTTTCCACGATGTCAATGCGGCCCACGCCGTGTTTGCCACTGTGGGAAGAACCATCTGGTCACTGGGGGCCACGTGAGGGCATCAGGATTCAAGGCTCAGAGGACATCTGAGCCGGGTGAACTTGTCCAAACACCCATTGTACAGGTGGGGCAACTGAGGCCCAAGGAGGGAAGGGATTGCCTGGGACACAGTGAGTTCAGTGTGTGAACTTCCGTTACCTCCACCTGGGCCTGGCGTGGTACCCAGCCCTCTCCACTGCTCAGCTGTCCTTCTAGCCTGGCCTCACACCCAGCTGAGACCTGGGGAGGCTCGACTGGACCACCCCCAGGGGCAGAAGATGCTGTGGGGTTGCTCCCGTCTAAGGCCCAGGGCCACCGGGACTCTGGTACAGAACCAAAGGGCCCTATGCCTATGGGGCTGGTGCCAGGGCTGACTGCAGGACACGGGCCTGTCCTCTTCGGCCCCTAAAGCTCGGGCCGGGGCCATCATTCTCAGCAGTTCAGGCGGGCTGGCCTGTGGTTCCCAGGAGGCACTCACGCGACTTCATTCAGGTACAAGAAAAGCTCCAAGGCCGTGCTGTGGGTGGTGCCATCCCCGACGTTGGTCACCTTCACGGGGACCCCTAGGGCGGGAGGAGAGGGCAGGGGGCCCATGGTCAGAGCTCAGCGGAGGAGTCTGGCTGCCATCCCACCCTCCCTCTCCACCCGCAACGCCTTAAATGGATGTGACAGATATGGACTCCAAATGACTCCTTGAGAAGCCCAGTGCAGGTTGAGGCCTGGCTGGGGAGAGAGAAGGGGCGAGAAAGCCCCCCAGAATGAAAGGAAAAATGCAATAAAAACGCTCTCCCCCACCCTTCCCATTCTCTCTGCCCCTTTTGCATTTAGGGGCTGTGAAATTGGAACCAGGCCCTGAACTAATTGAATTTCACGCTCCGCCATTGTCTTACGAGGGAGGACCTTCTGTCCCACCAGTTACGGGGGGGCCTGCCTGGCCGAGGTGCGGCTGAACTCACACACACACACACACACACACACACACACGGCCCCCTGCCACGTCTGTCAGGCGGACCCCCATGTCCCAACCCTGCACCCCAGATCGGGGCGAGAAGATGCCTGTTCCAGCCGGCGAGGTGTCGGAGGCGCCCATGAATTCCAAGAAGTCGGGTCTGGGGCGGCAGGAGGAAGGTGACCGCTCGGGAGGGAAGTCAAGGGGGGTGGCGGGAGAGGGGGGCAGTGGGTGGGTTCGGGGTTGACTTTGAATAGCAAGGGGCACTTTCTCGAGCGGTGTGAAATGAGCAATAAATGTATTAGCGGCCTAACAAGAGAGCTGTAACAGTGACAAAGAAAAGCTGTTCAAAGTTGGCGGCTAATCTCCCACCCATCTGCCCAGCTCATTACCATGGAGCCAGCGATCGGATGCCAATCAGGCCTCAATAGCGGCTTTCGAGTCTTTATTAGCCGGGCGCCGCTTGGAGGGGCTTCGCTCAGGGGCTGTCAGCCTGGCCATTCTTAACCCCCATTTCCAGGGGTTTTATAACTTGGTTGTAAATTGCTATTAAATGTAAGTCTGCCCAATAATGAACCTTAAGCCCCTCTGCCCACTGCCCCCCCACCCCCCCGCCTCTCCCCTCTCTCTTTCTCTCCCTCCGGTCCTATTGTCGTCCTTGCAGGGCCTTGGATGAGGCCTGCCCCCAGAGACGAGCAGACATTGTTGCTGCCGCCGCCAGAGAAAGCCTCTTAGCCTTTAAAATAGTTAATAATTAGATTAAAACTTCAAATAAATTAACTAGAGAGTGAATGGGGAGTCGCTGGGGAGGGTTCCTCCGTCTACTTTTTTTTTTTCTAGACAGTCCCCAAATCATTAAAATGGATCACGTTTCTTCTCAGGCTCAGCCCTCGGGGCTGGTCTATCTGTTCCTGGAGGAAACGGGGGCCAGAGCTGATGTCCAGCATGCAGGCCCCTCTGCGGCCCCCTGCTCGCCTCCCAGCCTCACCACTCTCCCCTGCTCCAGGGGGTCTGCGGGGGGGCGGGGGGGCGGGGTGTGGCCTGGGTCACAGAGGCTGGGCGTAAGATGCACTCAGTGCTCCAGCTGTCCTTAACGGGCTTAGACTTTAAGGGCCTTTTGGTCCACCCAGGGGGCATGACACTCAAGTGTCTGAACTGACGGCAGAGGTGGGATCAGAGCCATGCAAACGCCCATTGATGCAGCCAGCCTCTTGAGAAAGACCAGGAGGAGGCCAGTGATTAGAGTACCACCATGCTCAGCACCTAGGAGCATCATTTCTGTGGCCCATTTTATAGGCAATTGGAACGAGCCCGAGACCTAAGGTCACACTAGCAGCGGGGAGCTGGGATCTGTCTCCGAGTCCCTCTCCTTCGTCTCCCTCCCTGCCTGTAGCTGGAAGGACCAGCCTCCCTGCCTGGGGTTGGGACGCCTTCACGCCCCCTTCTCGGCTCCTCCAGCCCCGGCACAGCGCCACCTCCTCCCGGAAGTCTCCCCGATCTCTGCAGCCTCCTGGAAAAGTTCTTTCCTTGGACGTCCTCAGCCCTCACCCTGAAGCGGGTCCTGCTCCTTCCATTACCCAGCATGTCTTGCCTTCCCCTCTGTCTTCCAAGGCAAGGTGGGGGTAAGGGGCCTGATGCCAGGTTCAAGGCTGGGCACTCGGGCCAGACCAGCAAATGCTTCATGTTGATTGCAGAGAAGAGGAAATCAGAACCCAAGCAAGTGTGGCAGCAGCTTTGAGCCCAGGGTGAGGAGTTAGGGAGATGCACCAGGCAGCTAACTTAGGAGCAGCTGTGGGGTCAGGGGGGCCCCCGAGGTTGGCTCTCCTACTGCGTGAGCATCCCCTTGCTGACCACTCCTGCACCAGATACACCCTACCCAGATCTCACTCTGTACCGTGAAAACACGAGGTAGTGGGTGCTCTTTTATCCACAGTTTACAGATGAGGAAACTGAGGCCCAGGATAGTGGAATGACTTCCCCAGAATGCTCTCTCCAGACCTGGTGTCCACCAACCAGGGACAGCCGCTGGGGTGCTTTCCTCCAAAATCTGGAGGCTTCCACGGATCATGCCATCCGGGGAGGGGGTATCTGGGAACATTTGAAAGACCCCCATCTGAACCCTGGCTTCCAGGAAACACAGGAGGAATGCAGAGAGCTCATGCCCAGGGGGCTCCCAGGCAAGGAGGGGCAGGGAGCCAGGGCCCTAAAAGTCCACGCTTTGGAGTCCTGGTGGGCACCTACCTTTCTTGAACTCGATCTCAAGGGTGTCCGGGCTGTTGGGGGCTTTGGCCGGGTCCTGGGTCTTTGTGTAGAGGCCTGGAGGCGCTTGGTTCTGACAAGACAGAAAGAGGTTGGAGGATGGTGTGTCCGAGCCGAGCTGTGCCAGGTCAGTCTCCTGCAGCCCTCTCCAGAGCCAGGGTCCTGCTGGCACTTGTGGTCTGCTGGCCAGTCCAGCCAGCGGGCCGGCCTCCCAGCCCCCCTACCTGGAGCCAGCCCCACTTGCCAGGGGCCTGGGAAACAAAGGGCTCGAGAAATCAGACAATTTTTCCCCTCAACTTGATCTCATCTTTTTCTTCGACGCCCCCACAGCTGGAGGTGGAATAGCAGGAGGAGCCAGTCAGGCAGGAAAAGTGTGACTTTGGGGGAGTGAGGCGTGAGGTGGGCTTCCTGGGAGCGGGCGTGGGCACACCCGTGCTCTCTCTCTCTCCGGCACCGGGAATTGGGGTTTATTCTGCACTGACCGCAAAGCTAATGATTGCGCCTGACCCCAGCAGGTGCTCTGGCGAGGAGAGCCGTCCCGGGGGTCCCTGAGGTTAATACACACAGGGAGAAAAGAGAAGAGCGAAGCAAAAACCCATTTGAAAACACATCAACCTTTATGTATATTTTTTCTTGGGCGTGTTGGAAATTGGGCCTTTTTCTCCGCTCGATGCGGTGGCGGAGGGGCGGCTGGCTGCCTGGAACTCCCCAGGTCCCTTCCCTCCACCCCCCACCCCTGCAGGCTGCGGCTTGGACCCTTGCCACGATGAGGCCGAGGGGCTCTTGGGCCTGACTGCTCAAGTCTGTCCCGTGGGCATCCCAGGGCCCAGCTGTTGTCCACCTGCTGACGTCCTGGGAAGTGCAGTCCCTTCAATCCCTGGCTGTCAAAACCCTGCAAGCATTCCCGTGTCACTGCGCATCTGCAGTTTCCTTTGCATTTTCTGCAGCCCTGGTTGGTGAGGTCAAGTACTTTCCTTACCTATGGAAGAAGAACTAGAGGCGGACGGGGACTGTTGATGCTGTGACGTAGGCTGTGTGGGGGTGGCAGAGGTCACATGGCCCAGGGCAGGAAAACCACGAGGCCTTGAACAGGGATGTGATAGATTTCAGAGTGGTGGAAAACACCCCAAAGCTGGGAGTCAAGATGTCAGGCTGTGGAGCCTGGGACAAGTTGCTTCACCACTTTGAGCCTCAGTTTTCTCATCTGTAAAATGGGTGGGGAGGGGGAATGATACCTCCTTTTGACTGTCTTGGGCTCAGACAATAAAGAATCTGCCTGCAGTGCGGGAGACCCAGGTTTGATCCCTCAACTGGGAAGATCCTCTGGAGGAGGGAATGGCTACCCATTCTAGTAATCTTGCCTGGAGAACCCCACAGAGGGAGGAGCCTGGCAGGCTACCAGACAGAACTGAGTGACTAACACTTTCTTCTGACTGCCTTATGATTTAAATACATAGACAGTTTCTATATTTCTTACTGGACATGGAAGTCATCCAAGAAGGTGCCAACGAGGGCCCCACAGGTGACAGGATGGCTGGAACAGCCTCCTGGTGACACCTGCCTCAGAGAAGAGCTGCTCAGGAGAAGGGGGGCCGCCAGAACCCCTGAGGTTGCTCCCTGCGGTCACCTTGCTTGTTGACTCTATGTCAGGATGACCAACCATCCTGGTTCCAGGCTCAGAGACCCTCCCCACCCCCGCCCAGTCCTGGGCAAACAGGAACAGTAATCCTTCTAGCTTTACTCCTGGGCTCAGATGGGACTGGGAATAAAGCCCTTGCGCCTTCAAAGCGCCTTCGAGGCCAGCTGCCATCTCTTCCCCTGTTTCCCCTTAGGGGGCAGGAAGAGGGACCCAGAATGGATCCAAGACAGACCCAAGGAGGGGCGGGAGGCCTCCTTGAGGACCTCCAGCCTGATGGCTCCATGGACCAGGTGGAAAAACCAAGGCCAAAGAAGCCACTTGTCCACATCACACTGCCCCGCCCCACGGGTGTGGGAGTCAGACCGAGGACTCTAGACCCCTGTCCATTGCTTTTTCCCACCCCTCCACACTGTTTGCCAGCTGCTTTGTTGAGAAACAGCACAAAGGATATGGTCAGAGACATGCCCGGCTCCCCAGGCCTAACCAACCACCACCTTCCCTGGGACCAGGGCTATCCTCGGCCAAAAGGCCAAGTGAGCCAGGGCTTGGGGCCTTAGGGTGACCAACAGGACTCCCCACCTCCTCCCCTATCTCCCTGGGGCTCCTCACTGACTGTCCAGCCCGGGTTGAACTCCGAGTTGCCTGCCAGGGTTGAGACACCTGCCACTCCATCCGAACTCGCCTGCTTCCCACCTCCACCCTCACTGGGCCTTCAAACTCTGACCTGGGGCTTGTCACTTTCTCCTGCGGCACTTAACCGGAGCCATGAACACAGAGAGAATAGAATGGGATGACAGTGCTTTTGGGAGGAGAGAGGAGGTGGGAAGACCAGGCGGTCCGGCATCCCTGCTCTCTCTGCAGTGGGAAGCAGGACACCCTGACAGCACCGATTAAATAAAATAACTAAATAGAAATGAAGTGACATTTGCTTTGCATTCCGAGGTGGTGGCTCACGCCTGCCTTCTTTTTACTCTGCCTTCCTAAAAGCCCAGTTCAAATGACAAATAGTTTGTTGCTGAGTATCAATACCACCTATTTATCCATCCCAGCGGGAGGGCTCACTTCCAATGTCATCTTGGGTGGGGGGGGGGTGTTGGGGGAGGGAAGAGAGTGAAGGAAAAAAAAAAGGAGAGAGAGTTGGTGGGGAGGGAGGGGGGATGGGGAGAGGGCGAAAGAAAGCATGAAACAGGGCTGAGAAGGAGAAATTGGAAGCAAATGGCCCATGAAGTAAACCATGATGTAGAGGCATGATCGATGCGGCAAATGGTTTATTCATCCATCAGATATGGCGGGCCGAAGACTGAATGAACTCTTTCACTGTGGGCCGTATGAAGTTAAAGCAAGTAAATTTCTATCTTTCTTCGCATTAGCTGCCTCATTGCCCTTCAATCAGCCCTCATGGAGGCAGAAAATGGCTCCACCATCTGCCTTCAAACCCTCCCCTCGGCAGGTCTCAGGCTTTTTTTGGAGCGGGGGTTGAGGAGGGAGGGGGTCAGCGGTTCCCTGAGCTGGGTCTCCCCAGCTCCTCCAGAGGGGGCCAGGGCTGTCCAGGGTACAGAGTTCCCCCACTGTGGGGAGCAGCACCCACCTGGGCCCTTGGGACCTACTGGTGGCAAGGGGCTGCCCTGGCCCCCACCTGCAGCAGGGTGGCCTGGGAAAGCGGAGCCGGAGTGGCCAGCCCCTGGGTCCCTTGGCCTGCCCCCCCCCCCCCCCCGCACTTCTCAGCGGGAGTGTGGTCTCCCCCCTCCCCCTGGGGAGGGCAGAGCAGAGCATCCACTCCTGAGAGAACCTCATCTCCTCCCTCCCCCCAAAAATCTTAGCTGGCCAGAGGAGGGAAGGTGGGACCCCTGGTCCCACGGCTGAGGCCTTGGGCCCTGTGCCAGGACAGGACAAGGGCTTTCACACCCCAGGAGGCAGGTGTTGCGATGTCCAGCTGTTTGCATAAGAAGCCAGAGGCTCAGAGGGGTTGGGTAGCTTGCCCAAGGTTGCACAGCCATAGAAGCAAAGCCAGGATTCAGACCCAGGTCTCTGGGAACCACACACTCACCTTCCCACTTGACTAGGGGGTAGAATCCTGAAAAATACACTGGCTAGCACCTCTTTGTCCATGCATTGCCCTCATTAGAAAGGAGGCCTGAGAGGGGCAGCGAGGTGAGAGCGTCATCACAGGCCGCTAGAGGAGCCGCTGGGCTCCGCTCAGCCTCCCCGAGCCCCCTGGGCGCTGACTGACTGGCTAATTAGGGGTGGCTGGCCTGAGTGCCATGGGGTCAGCCAAGCATGAACTGGAAAAGCCTGTGACCAGCAGGCAGCAGCCCGTGGGGCCATCAGCCCCAGGGGACGAGGGTGTGGGCTCTGCCGAGCGGGTGGGGAGGGGAGGCGTGTGGGCCACCAGGGAACCAGAGGCTGCTGGGGCAGGGGGTCATTCCTCTGGGCCTCAGTTTCCTCCCCCAGGACACGAGGAGGCTCAGAGCCGAGAACGCAGACCCCAGGCTTGGCTCCAGAAACAGCCCCTGGTGTAGGTTAGATTATTGCCAACACCGACCCAGAGGGCCCAGTCCCCATGGGGAGCTCTCCCCAGGACCAGGCTCACTCCATCCTTGCCCAAACCATCCTTTCCAGCTGGCCTTCCTAGATCCTGTGCCCCCCGGACCCCCCCTGCCCTGGCCCAGCTACACAAGGGCCCCTGCCTGCCCTCCCTGCACACTTTCCCCCTAACATCAGACAAGCAGCCCACCCCACCCCCAAATCAGCCAGGGAATGGAGACAGTCCCTGGGGGGACAAAGAGAATTTTTTTTCTTTCTTCTTAGGATAGATTTCATCCTGCCTCCCCCATCTCCCACGGTGGGCAGGGGGAGACACAAAGGAACCCCTCCTCCCCCCCCAAAAGAGAGAAAAACCTAAACTTCAAACATGGCCCCGAGATCCAGCGTGAGCCGGGGAGGCTGGGGACCTGGGACCAAGGCGGGCGGGCTGGCGGGTGCGGAGCCCAGGCCCAGACAAGTGGGTCCTGAGGCTCCGGTCTGTGCCACCTCCCCCCGTGGCAGCAGCCAAGGCTGCCCGAGAGCTGGTGGGCACAGACCGGGCCCTCCCACAAGTGTCTCATCTGCCTAATTGCTTCTTTATTGTCTCACAATCGCCCTCTCCGTTCCCTGAAATATTTCCTTCCCCTATTCATCGTGGCAGCAATTAAGAAAAAAAAGAGCTCTGGGGAGGGGGGAGGATCTGAAAAACGCAGTGTGGAGTGGGCAGGCGACAGGGGGCCCGGTGGGGAGGGTCGGGGAACACAGGCAGGGCTCAGCCCCAGCCCCATGCCCGGCCCCCCGTGAAATTTCAAATTAGGCTACAAACACGCCAGACTGCGTCGGCAACGGAACAGCCACCACCTAAAGACAGCCGGTTCGGGGGGACGGAGGATTACCTTGGGGTTCTCCAGGATTCCAGCCTCGTAGCTGCAGGGGAGAAGGAAGACAGGGGGGCGAGTCAGTGTGGGAGGAGCAGAGGGACACACCAACAAGAAGTGGTCTGCCCTCCCTGAGGCCGCCGGGCTCCGTCCATGAGGGACTGAGGCCAGGCAGGTGACGTCTTACCTGATATGCATCAGGTTCTCGTCCATGCTCCAAGGGTTCTTGGGGGTGACTGGGACGGGGATTCCGTGTTGCTGCAGGTAAGAGGTTAAGGCAGCACAGGTAAGACAGTGTTGGCATGAGGCAGCTTGAAGGCCACAAGCATCAGGCCTGCTTGCCTCGGTTTCCTTTCAAAGTCAAAGACACCCCCAAACTCTGGCTCCCAGGCCAACAAGACCCTGGACCCGCCCCCTCCCCACCCCCAGTCTCCTTCTCCCTACCCCAGGGTGGCCTGGGGAGTTATGGCCCCATTTCTGAACACACCCAGGCAGAGATTCTAAGACCCAGTGTCTGAAATGCTGTGGAGTGGATGCTAACCTTGGAGGTTTCTTCCAGAAGATTGAGTCCACACTTCAGGTGCTGAGGTCTCTCAGCACCATCTGTGGACCCCCACCCTACGAGCTGGGAGATGGAACGGACCCACCTTTCACTGTGGATCTCAACCAAGGCATGTGCACCCTCGGGGGTGCTTAACGCTCACCCAAGGAAGCAAGAGGCGCCCACGAGAGCCTCTGGTTCAGGTCACTTGTTCCCAGGTTGTGGCCAGGCACTTTCTGGGCACATCTCCCCTGCTGCCTATGGTCACCACATACATCACCCTGCAGCCCTGAAGAGGAGTAATCCCCCATCTGATTACCCTTTGCTTCCTAAATGACCCAATTCTTTGTTTAGGGGGAAGACCCCATGGAAACCCTGGGCCTGAAAGGCTGTGGGTGACATGTTGAAGGTCTTTTGTATGAGGACATATTTGCTCCCTGAGCTGTCCCTTGCCACCCAGGCTGACACCTGGTTGGATCTAGCACAGTATACCATCCTGCTCAGTTCTCCCGGGTTTACTGGGTACAGAAGACAACTAAGCAGCCTGGCCCAGCCCCTATAAATCAGCAAGACTTCCGCTCTGCCTCCCAGGCCCCCCTTTTCAGCACTTCGCCCAGGTGGGTCCCACCAGTCTCCACCAGCAGTACCCCATCTTTCCGGACAGCTCTCTGCCTTGGCTCAGCTCATACCCACAACTAAGATTCTAGAGGCTTCCTCCAGGGAGCTTCTGTTTCCTTCATCACCGCCTTAAAATTTCAAAATAAAGCAGGTCTTTTTCCCCCAGCTTTACCTATACACTCCGTTTTTAAAGCAACAGCCCACATCCACTCTAAAATCTGCACCCTCTTCAGTGGAGACTACATGGGCAAACGGAACACTTCACTTCAAGGCTGATCAATGTCAGGGGGCTCCTTGCCCCCCAGAGAGGTGCCCAGAGTCAAATCCACGTGCTAGCCCTGTTCTGTCTCCAGGCAGAGAAGGCCAGGTGTGGGGACCAGGACCCCGCTTGTGCCAACTGGGCTGAAATCCCCACTGAGGAGACTCCCTGGGCTGGGGGCCGAGAAAGCCAGTGGGCAGGTTCCTTGGAGTCTTTCTTTTGAGGGGTGGTTTGGAAACACTCTTGCCTTTTGGAAACTCTCTCTCCCACTGGGGCTCTGCTGGAGCAAGGAGGGAAGAACAGGACGGGAGGCCCTTCCTCATCAGGGAGATATGCACGAATGCCAAACACAGGCCTTCATCCAAAGAGGCCTGTTTCCCCTCCCTCCTCTGTCCCGAGCTCCCCGCCAACACACATACCCACACCCTGGAAACTGGATGCAACTGACAACAGAAAACAAAACCGTCTTCCGCATGCACAGAAGACTGCCCTGCTTTCCGGACCCCGACCTTGCACGTTGGCTTTAAAAGCATTATGGTGACAGTGATAAGGATGGGGTGATTCTGAGTGGTTTTCCCCTAGGATGATGGATTTAGGGGGGAGGTGGAAACTGATACAAATGCATGTTTGTCATGAGTCTCCCTACAGCACCTTGTGGCCTGGGCGACTTAACGGGTCGCCTAAGGGACTTAAGCAGGGGTTTTTCAAAGCCCCACTGATTTTCATCTCAGCTGGAGCAGCTGCGTGGCTCTGAGTTTTGGACAGTCTGGCTGTTGCTCAGTTACTGCAGTCACTCCCGGGTGCAGAGACTTTGCCATCATTCTAGAACGTGGTCACATTTTTCAGAGCTCGATTCTGATTTTTCTGAGCTCCTCTGAGGGAGGCTCAGTGGTGGCGACCCAGACTCTCTCGCTGGGGCAAATTTTCCTGTTTAAAAGGTTATTTGAGACAGAAGCTGAGCCAAGAGCCTTGGGACAAACAATGACTCCAGAAATTCTGGCAAAACCCAGGAGCCGCTTCTGCTTGGGAGCATCACAAAAATGAAGGACAACGTTATGGGTCAGCCCTTTCTCCAACCACGACTGCTGGCGTGAGAACGGGGATGGGCCAGGACTCTGGATTCATTATTCTTCAAGATAAAACATGCTTCAGATTCTGTATCCTCAAGGAGACCAAGGAGGGGAAGAAAGCCTCTAACCCCGTCCCCTTAATAGCTCTGCTATTTGAAAATTTGTTTGGCAACATATGGGCTTGCTCTTGTAAACTCCCCTTTTAATAATAAAACAACAGATGGTCGAGGAGATCTTTCCTCCGAGCTCTCCAGGTCTTAATGGGATGCTGGCGGTAGGGGCAGGGCCGGGTCCCCGCCGCGTCCCCCACCACGCGGCACCTTGGCTGCGGTGAGAGCTCACAGCCAGCTCTGGCGACTGCTATTTAAAAACCCAAGCAATTTTCTGGCGTGTGCACCAGGTTGCTTTCCGCTGTCTGACTGATTGAGGCTGTTTGTCAAGCGCTGCCATCGAGTCGCTAAAAAGAAAGGTACCCTGGGGAGTGGCTAAGGATCTTAATGCAAAACTTCTAATCTGTTTTATTGCAACTTGTACTTCAAAAAGGGCTGGTGCCGCAGAAGTCTTTGTCTGCCTCTGGCCCTCGGAGTACCTACCTGTTCCTGCGGAAGCGCCGGGGACAATTAGTCAGGTAACTAGGGGCGGAGAACAGCCTCGCCCACAGCCCCGTCGGTGCTCTGAGTGACACATCACAGAGGTGGCAATCTGAATGGGAAACGAGGGGGCCGGGCGTCCTCCCGCTGGGTGGACTGCGGTGGGGGGGGAGGGGGTGCGGGGTGACCTAAGAGATGCGCAGTCCTGGCGGGGACCACAGTTAGTTCTGTGGGGCCGGCCCAGGGAACAGGTGCTGGGGGAAGGCACCAGGGCTGACGCTCGGTCCCCAGGCGCGGACACCAGCCCCGGCTTCGAGCCTCTGGAGGGATGTGCCTGGGTGGGCAGTGGACGAGGGCCGGGTGATGGCGGAGTCCGGCCTTACCTTCGCGTACTCCATCAGATCGTTGCGGCCCTGGAAGCGGTTATAGAACTCGGGCATCCTCCAGGGAGCGATGACCTGGACACGAGACAAGGAGTCAGGGCTGCCGGCTCCCCCAGGCCCTGAGGCTGCAGAGCCGGCCTCTCTGATAAGTGGCCTGAGGGTCTCTGATAAGGTGGCCTGGGTGGGGGCTCTGTGTAGCCCACGGGGAGGGCGGTGGGCAGGGGAAGGACACGGCCTGCCACCCCAGAGGGTGGTTTTGGAGAAATCTTGAGTTCCATGGCAGAATGGCCGCGTGCCCCCAGGCGGGTTCCCTGCCCTTCTGCAGCTAAGTCTCCCCAACTGAGACGTGAGGGTTTGGACCAGATAGGCCTCAAGTTTCTCGATGGCACCCCTGTCCAGAGGTCCGGGGCCCCCCACCACTGGTGACTAAAAGCCAGCCAGCCTGACCCTGCGGGGACTCAAGCATGCCCCCCAACCCACCCCTCCTTGCCACCCTCCTACCCCCCACCCCTAGGGCTGCTCTGGGTGGGGGAAAGGAGGGGAAATGGAGCTTGACTGGAGGTACGGAACTCATCCTACCAGCCTGGGGGTGGGGTGGGGGTCAGGGACAGGTCCCCCACGAAGAACCCCCGCTCAGCCTTGGAGCCAGCCAGGCCTCTGCCCAACTGGGGGTGGGGAGGTGTCATCTAGATGGAGAAGCTAGTTTGATTTCTAGGCTGGGGGTGCCAGTGGGACTGGGGAGGCTGCACCGCCCCCCTGCCCCAGTCCTGAAATGAGCAGAATCTGGGTGGAGCACCCTCTGGCCTCATCCTGGTTCCCAGAGACCAGCTTGGGGCCCCATCCCACCCCTGGGCTTGGCTTCTGCAGACAAAGACCCAGAAACCAGACGCCCTGGCCCCCCAAGTTGCTGTGGGAACAGAGAGTGGGGGTCAGGCCAGGGCCCAGGCCCACACGCTTGCAGCATCAACAGGCAGCTACTGTGTGTGGGGGCTTCTCTGCCTCCTGGTGTTTGGGGTCAAAGCAGACCACTAGAGCTTATTACTGCTCACCTCTGGGCCGCTCTCACCCCCTAAGCAGCTGCTTGCTGGTTGGTTAAAGGGACAGAGAAAGAGGTTCCACTTAAAAGAAAAAAAATGAAAGCCCTTAGGGCCCATTGCGGACTTGGGAAGGGCACATCTTTTGTAGATTTTGCCCGAAGTGGCTGCAAAGAAGCTCGGGGCCACGCCCACCCACACTGTCCAAAATGGCAGCCAGGGGCCACACGTGGCCACGGAGGCCCGAACTGTGACTGGTCCCGGTTGTAAGTGGAAAGCACACAGCGGGTCTTAAAGACTTCATACCGAAAGAATGTAAAATATTTCAACATTGATAACATATTGAATGATACCATTTTGGATATATAGGGTTCTATCATTAAAATGACGTCGCCTGTTGTTTTTTATCTTGGTTTTTTGATGGGGCCACTAGAAAAACTGAAATAATCACCCCGGGGCTTGCGTTTGCAGTGCTCAGTGTAGTTCTGTTGTGGGCTTTGTTCACTAGATGCCCGGAAGCCTCCCCATCCCATGAAGGAATCCAAGAACCCGGGGTCAGGGTTCAGGCAGCTGGGGAGGTGGGGGCCTGAGCTGAGGGGCCCCCACCAGGGGCGGAGGGCTGTGAGCAGCCCTGAAATCAGCCCAGAACGGTCCTAGTCCGCACATGGAAAGGCAGACCTGGACCCACAAGGATGCTGCTGGAAGGGCAGCCTCGTCTTTCCGTCCAGTGCCTGAACCACCTAGGCGCCTGGGCAGCCTCTCCGGGAAGGACAAATGGTCAGGGACAGAATGCTGTCCCTTGCGGCTGGGGTAAGTGAAGGGAGCTCTCCATGGGAAGAAGGGCTCTACCCACCACGAGGCCCCTGTCTGGGGAACCTCCCAGGAAGTCCCATGCCCTGCTCCTCGCCTTGGGGGCCTCAGCCCCCAGTACCCACCCTTTCAGGGGAGGAGCAACATCCTACCTTGATCTGGGGGGCCAGCGAGTAGCAGGTGAGCTCAAACCGGATCTGGTCATTCCCCTGAAACATACAATGGGGGGTTTCAGGAGCCACAGAATAAAGACCGGTTGAGGGGGTTCGGGGGAGAGGCAGTGCTGGGCGATCTTCGATGGCACCCCCTGGGTGCTCCCCACGGAGCACTGTGGGGTGTCTCCCCATGGGCTCTCTCCTCCTGATCTGGGTGCTACAAACCCCTCTGAAAGATGAACACTGGGCTTTCTTGGAGCAGGCTTTCTGCCCTGGACTTGAACCCGGGTCTCCCTGAGTGCAGAGCCAAGCTGTGCGGGCACATGAGTATGCAGGATGTGTGTGCACAAGATGCCCAAGTGACAGTGCGTGCGGAGTTGTGACAATCAGGACCTCTGCGTGCACTGGTGTGAGGGTGCATCCGTGGCAGGTGGGGGCTGTAGGCCGCAGCGGGCACAGGCATGAGTGGGTGTGTGTCAGAGAACGTGACAGGGCACGCACACGAGTCATCATGGATGTCCACTCTTCAGGGGGGACACATACACCTGTGGGGCTGGAGGCCTGGCTCCGCTGAGATCTCAGGCAGCCTCCCCGGGGTTGCCCACATCTCAGCCACTTCCTGCCTGGCCTCTCCGGCCCCAAGATCGAGCTCACTTCCAGGGGTTTCATAGCATTGTGTCCACTGAACTGGGAGCCCCGTCTCCTCTGGGAGCCTTGTAGTGGCTGGCTGGGGGACGGGTGGATGCAGACGACCACTGAGGCCCTTCGCTTCTCTGCACAAACCAGTCCAGAGGTAGGAGGGGCTCGTCCGAGGGCACAGAGCCCAGCCCAAGCCTGGGCAAGGGGACCCCACCGCCCCCACCCTCCTTGGGCGGGTGGTCTACATCCTCGCGCGGAGGAGGAGAGGGCCCAGCCCGCCAGTCCCGGAGACAACGGCTTCCAGCCACCCGCCTGCCCCCCATCAACTTGGCGGCCTGGAGGGAGGCTTAAGCGCGTGGAAATAACAGAGGGACCTCTCGCCTACTGTGAAAACTGCACGGGCGCAGCCAGGCAGCAGCGGGAATAACATGTTATTTTCCAGAGTCTTGTCAGGCGACACGGAAATACTGGTTTCAGCCCCTCTCCTCGGAGCCAGGAGCTGAGGCTGCTCCTCTCTGATCGCTGCCCGGGGCCCACGGGCTGGGCCAGACCCACTGCCCCCATCAGCCTCCATCCAGTCCCTCCAGTGAGGGCCTACTATGTACTGGCTTGCCCACAGGAGAGCCAGCTGGCAGCAGCAGCAGGTTTCTAACCCCGTTTTACAGATGAGGTGATTCAGGCTCAGAGAGGTGGAGCCACTTGTCCAGGGACACACAGCCAGAAGGCACCAATCCCACCCTGACAGCTCACTGTAAGGTCACGGGGCTGAGCTCCATACCCAACTCCACGAATCCTTACATGGCAGCACCCCACTATTATCCCCGTCTCAGAGGATGAGATGGTTGGATGGCATCACCGACTCAGTGGGCGTGAGTTTGAGCAAACTCGGGGAGAGAGGGAAGGACAGGGAAGCCTGGCGTGCTGCAGTCCATGGGGTCGCAAAGAGTCGGACACGACGGAGCATCGAATAACAACATGGATGGGGAAACTGAGGCACAGGTGGTAATGCCCACCCAAGGGCCAGTGGGCTGCAGTTCCTGGAGCAGCGGCGGTGGTACTTGATTAGAGGCAGGCTTACTTTAGACTCGTAAAGCATATGGTCTAGTGTTGCATATCCTGGCGATTATTCCTCCAGGGCTTCAGGTTTCCCCAGCACAATGGTGGCTTGTGCTTCCCTGGACCGGCATGTCGGGCTGGGGTCTGCCCAACAGGATCGCCGTGGGGACACCCATCTGTTCCCGAGCCAGACGCCCTCGCAGGAGCCAGAGTTGAAACTCTGTCCCGAACAGGCTCCGAGACCTGTCTGCTCCTTCCCCTCCCTGACTCCAGGACCCCCGGCCCCAGGGAGCCGAGGGGGGAGGCTTATCACGTCCTGCACACCCACCATGTGTCCACGTGTAGACACACGTGTGCAAGTGCAGGTGCCGTGCCCTCGGGGACTGCACGGGGCCCTCCCATCTGCTCCTGGACGAGCCACACAGATGGCACCGTCTACAAGACTGCTGCCTGCGGCCCTCCGGCTCCTATTCCCGGGCTCCTCTTCCAAAACCAGGGGAGGGAGGGAGGAGGCCTGGGAAGGGCCACCCCGGCTCCTGCGCAGCCCTCTGACGGGGAGGGATCAGAGTCCCCGTAGGGCTGTGAAGGGGCGGGCCCCAGCCCTCTCTGCACCAGGCGCCCCCTGGGCTGAGCCTGGGCAGGGAAGCCATCTCGGGCCTCCGGGTCTTTGCACAAGCTGTTCCTGCAGCCTGGAGTGCCCTTCCTGCTCGACATCACTGCTGACTCTTGCTCCCTCAGACGGCTCAGGGCCACCATTACCCCTTGCTGGGTTAGTCCCCTATAAGGGCTTCCCAGGCGGCACTAGTGATAACGAACCCGCCTGCCAAAACAGAATACATAAAAGATGTTGGTTCGATCCCTGGGTCAGGAAGATCCCCTTTATGAGAGCATGGCAAACTACTCCAGCATTCTTGCCTACAGAATTCCATGGACAGAGGAGCCTGGCAGGCTACGGTCCCTGGGGTCACAGAGTCAGACATGAAGGAAGTGGCTTTGCACATATGGGCATCCCAGGGCGTGAAGGAAAGCCAGGGCTGGGTGGGGGTTCAGGGGGTGGAGTCAGTGAGCTAGTGCATGAGAGGCTGGAACGAGGGCCCTAAGGCCCTGGGGCCCAGCTTGCAGAAAGTTCCGGCTCAAGCGTCCCACCTGGATCTGACTCTGGGTTGCCAGCCTCCTGCAGGCCGCATCGCTCACTCTGGACGCTCATCTCACGTGTTCAAGTCACTGATGCCCCGCCCCCCGGGGGGTGGGGGGCAAACAGACCACCAGCCCCTGCAGGCAGGTGGCCCCTCTCTCCCTAGCAACCCCCTGTCTCATGCCTGGCATCCTCTGGAACCCTCCAGGCCTCCCTGCTCCTCCTCATTCTCCCCACTCTTGTAGGCCTCTGTCTTCAGAGGCTGCTGAGGGCTTCCCCAGGTCAAGTAAACTAGGGGAAACCGAGGCACAGGAAAGTCATGCCCATCAACCCCCAGAAGAGGTGGGAGATGTCGGGGTTGAGGGCAGACCGGGACGCCTCGTTCCCTGTGGTCTTACTGCTGCTGGTCTTGGAGCCCCCCCAGTAATGTTTCAAATCTGTCTCTCTAATGGACACCGAACTGCAGAACTGTCCCCAGATCTCCAGAGGCCACAAAACTACCGCAGCCAGTGTTCTCAGAACCCAAGCCCTGCAGGACCAGAGAGGGAAACAGATTCCCTGTGGGGTCAGCCCAGGAAGGCCTCAAACCTGAGCCTCTGGTGCCCTCTTGTGTCCAAATGGAGTGACGCACACAACTGCTGGCCGCTGTTTCCACCAGCGGGCTCACGGGCTGTTATGTCTGGCTCTTTGCAACCCCAAGGACTGTAGCCCACCAGGCTCCTCTGTCCATGCAGTTTCCCAGGCAATACTGGAGTGGGTTGCCACGTCCTCTGACTCTTTGTGACCCTATCGACTGTAGCTCGCCAGGCTCCTCTGTCCATGGGGATTCTCCAGGCAAGAATACTGGTGTGAGTTGCTATTTCTTCCTTCAGGGGATCTTCCCCACCCAGGGATCAAACCCAGGTCTCCTGCATTGCAGGTGGATTCTTTACCACTGAGCCACCAGGAAAGCCCATCAAAGCAGCTTAGGTGCATTATTTTAAAAGTAAAGCCAATTTAATTTTAAGAGGGTCTGTGGCATTTCCGTGGAGAAGGAAATGGCAACCCACTCCAGTATTCTTGCCTGGAGAATCCCAGGGATGGAGGAGCCTGGTGGGCTGCCATCTGTGGGGTTGCACAGAATCGGCCACGAGTGAAGCGCCTTAGCAGCAGCAGCGGCATTTCCAACCTTCCTAAGTTCAATGGTGCCGTGGTGGCGGGGCCTGGAAGCGTTAAGTGTTGGGGACGAGGTTGGTAGATTAACTCCTTACCACTGTACCGCCTGGGAGGCCATTCCAAGCTACCTGTGAGCTAGTCTGGCAGGGGTCCCTCCCCGGATCCACAGAGCCTCCCCAGCCAGGGGCAGACCCAGCATACACGCATTCATCCATAATCCTCATTTCCTGGCCTGAGCTTGAATATCTCCTGGAACCGGGGGCTCACCAAACAGCTTGTTTTGTCATGAATAGGTGAGAGGCTGAGAGGTTCATTCTGTGATTGAGTGGGGCACTTCCCTCTCCCTGAGGGTTGATGATGTGCCAGGTCTGTACTGAGCCCTTCACTGAAATTCTCCTGGTCATTGCTCCCAGCTACCTCATGAGCCAGTTCTATTTTATTCCCATTGCACAGATGAGGAAACGGAGACTCATGGGATGAAGTCACACAGTGTATGCAGGGAAGCCAGAACCTGGACCCAGCTGTAAATCTGGGAGTCCGGAACCTCTGAGTTCTCCTGTACCCTCTCTCACCATCCAAGTGGAAGGAGGAACGCAATCTGGAATCTCTGAAGGTGGAAGGCGGAACTCGGGTCCCTGTCGAAACAGCCAGATCCACGCTCTGGATTTGGCTCCCAACTAGGGTGTTGGTGAAAACTAGGGCCACACCCACCAGCCTGCTTCTTCTACAGAAGCCACCGTTTTGGTCCAGAACAAGCCCCTACAGGCCATGGGGTGGGCAGGGGCGGGGGGTCACTGGCCACCTCCGCCCAGCCAGGGGTCTTCCAGATGAAGCCAAAGGCCTTAGCGTGGCCCTGGGCCAGCCCTGACCTGCTGCTTCTCTCAGGCTGCAGCTCCCACTCCATTCAGGAGTCTCCCCTTGTCTCCGGGCCTTTGCCCACCACCTGGCACACGTCCCAGGACTCCGTGCCCAGGACCGAGCTCTGCCGGACAGACTTTCCTCGGCCTCCGCCTGCTGTCCCCATGGCCCCCCTGGCACAGACGCTAAGCCACCCATTCCCGCTTCCATCCTCTCCCTCGCTGGGACAGAGGCCCCCTGAGGGCGGGACAAGGGGCCCAAGGAGTTCAAGACCACTGCAATGCCCAGCGCCCAAACGGCGTCTCGCCCATCACAGTCTGAGTGTGACTCGCTGTCACACTGAGCCAGGGCCTGCCCCCTCCTCCCGCGCTGCCTGGGGTCGGGGCTGTGTCTGGTCAGGACGTGGGTGCTGGCGCGCCCCATCCCTGTAGGCGGGGTGTCCACTGAGTGTGCAAGAGTCCCCGGTAACACCGCCACACAGCCACCGGCATCGCTAGGGATCTTGTCCTAACAAGATTCCTGGGGGCTTTCCTGTTTTCTACCCCCAGGATTGTCCTTCCATCTGCCCTCCTGTGCACAAGGGCCGGAAGTAGAAGGTGTGATCCAGATTGAACTGTGTCCCCCTACAAAAGGTATGGTGATGCCCTAACCGCCCCTAGCCCTTCAAAATGGGACCTTATTTGGAAATAGAGTCTTACAGACATCATCTAGTTAAGATGAAGTCATTAGGATGGGTATGACTGGTGTCCTGGGATAAAGAAGAAATTTGGACACAGAACCAGACATGCATGGAGAAGACAAATGTGAAGATGTCCGAGGAGATGGCCACGTGGAGATGGAGGCCTGGGGTGATGCACCCATGAGCCAAGGAGGCCAGGGGAGAGCCTGGAGCCCTTCCCTAGAACTTTTGGGCCGCCTACACCTTGACTTTGGACTTCTGGCCTCCAGAGATGTGAGAGGCTCCGTTCCTGGTGTTTACACCGACCAGTCTGTGATGCTGTTGCCCTGGAAATGAAGACAGGGCCTGCTCTCCACTTTGCAAGTGAAGAAACTGAGGCTCAGGAAAGGCAAGGCCCTTAATCAAGGTCACGCAGCTCGGACTCAAGCCCTCTGGGAACGGGAGGTCTCCTGTCCACTGTGTTGCATGACTTGCGCTGTGACCTTGGCCAGATGTCCACCTCAGAACATATCCTACTGTTCAGTGGAATATTGTGTGCTAAGCTCACACTGGAATACTTCTTTCTTCTGTGTGATTGCGTCACAGACTGGACATACAGTAGGTTCATTTCTTTCCATCTGCTTTCAGTTTCTTGAGATAGATGGCTTAGTGAATTTTATCTTTTAAATTCAACCTTGATGTTTTCAAAATCAAATCTATGCAATATGTTATTAAGAGGGATTTCCCTGGTGGTCCAGAGGTTAAGAGTCTGCCTGGCAATGCAGGGGACTTGGGTTCCATCCCTGGTTGGGGAACTAAGATCCCACATGCCGCAGCCAACAAAGCTCTCGCCCTCCAATGAAGACCCAGCGCAGCCAAAAAAAACCAAACACAATAGAGACATCTATTCCATTCCTGCCCCTTCCACTCACTGTGGAGAGTTTTCATTTAACTTCTCAGTGTTTCTTTCTTATGCAAAATGTAGTATATGACATCATACAATTGTGCACCTTGCCTGTTTTCACTTACTATATGCATTCTGGGTGATCACTCTCATTCCTTTTCATGACTGCATTGCATACCATTGTGTTATTTATGCAGCCAATCCCCTATTTACAGATATTTGATGGTTTTTCATCTTTTATAATAGTTTTGAAATAAATAATACTAGGCATGAAAAAAGAAAAAGATGAGCCTGAGCCTCAGAGGCAGATTTGAAAAAACGGGGTGACATGGCTTCCACCACACCGGGAACATGGGACTCACACACTTGGGGCACAGAGTGGAGCTGTCCCTAACTCCCTACTAGAAATATTCCCCTTAGAGTGGACGGGCCAGTCTGTCCACATATTCCTCTTAGTCATGCTGGGTGGGCCAGTCTGTCCACATATTTCTCTTAGTCATGCTGGGTGGGCCAGTCTGTCCACGGCACAGCAGACTGTTCTGGGGGAGAACCAACAAGTGCTCGGGGACCGTCCATCAGGACAGGCTGCCCATGTCCCCCCGGCAGGCCCCTGCGTCCTCACCCTCCCCAGCCACACAGCCTGGCCTCACCTTTCCTGTGGCGCCGTGAGACACATACTTGGCTCCTTCTCGCTGGGCGATCTCCACCTGCTTGCGGGCGATGCAGGGCCTGGCGAGAGAGGTGCCCAGGAGGTAACGGTCCTCGTACAGCGCGCTGGACTGGATGGCCGGCCAGATGAACTCCTCCACAAACTCCTTGCTGATGTCCTCAATGAACACCTACAGAAAAACAGTCCATGGGAAGGAGCCTTGGCAAGGACAGGGCACTGTCAAAATACAGAGTCTCCAATGGCCTGTGTCTAAGGCAGACGTGGCTAACAGATGCTTAATGGTGGTCTTGAAACTGCAGTAGAAAACGATTCACTTTTGCTAAGTCTCAACTCTTGAGTGCATGAGTGTGTGCATGCTAAGTCACTTCAGCTGTGTCCGACACTGTGACCCTATAGACTATAGCCCACCAGGCTCCTCTGTCCATGGGATTTTCTAGGCAAGAACACTGAAGTGGGTTGCCATGCCCTCCTCCAGGAAGTCTTCCTGACCCAGGGATCGAACATATATCTCCAGTGTCTCCTGCATTTTTGGTGAATCCTTTACCACTGTGCCACTGATGAAGCCCCAACTCTTAAACACAAAATGTGATAAACACACGAAGCATTTCTACTGCATGCCCAAGTGAGTTACTAGCTAAATTAGCCACTCTTCTCATAAACCATCATTCATACTTGAATGAAGGACTGACAGACAAAACAAGGTCAATTAAGACTTGGGTTTTTGGCCATGTTTTGCATAAAAATATTTGTTGAATATTTGTTGCCAATGATAAAACTCAAACTTTCCAGTAAAGAAACTAGAGTTATGGAAAACTTGTATCTGATACTGTGAAATTGACAGCTTCCTAATACTTCTGATGTGAGTTTTATTGCTTTTTATTGCACTTCACAGATACTGTGTTCCTTTGTACTGTGAGTTTATGTGAGCAGGGACCATGATGGCCATGTTCATCTTATGCCCTGCTCACTGATACTGTTGAGTGGATGGAAGGATGGGTGGATGGACAGGTAGATGGATGAGGGGCAGGCAGGTGAATGGATGGATGAGGAAGAGGTAGACTGATGGGGAGGTGATTGGGTGGAAGAGAGGCTAGGAGAAACCAGAAGATGGTACACACACCAAAGTGAAAGTGAAAGTCACTCAGTCGTGTCCGACTCTTTGCAACCCCAGGGACTATACGGTCCATGGAATTCTCCAGGCCAGAGCACTGAAGTGGGTAGCCATCCCCTTCTCCAGGGGATCTTTCCAACCCAGGAATTGAACCCAGGTCTCCTGCATTGCATGCTGATTCTTTACCAGCTGAGCCACAAGGGAAGCCCTCACACCAAAAGCGGAAGGAACTGACATCACACTCTTGGAAGCAAGAGGACCAACTGGAAGGGGCGAGGGAGGCAAGGAGCTCTGGGACAGGAGCCTCCACGGCTGTCTCCAACACATCAGATCCCATTTCCAGCCCCAAGCCCTTCCTCCCACTCGGTACCTTTTTGGCCCCGAGCTTCACTGCCTTCTTTCTGGCTTCTTCAAAATCTTCCTTCTGGCCGATGTTGGCCTGACAAGCAGAAGCAGAGAGAACCCATCAGCCCAGGGGCAGAAAGAAGAGCTGAGAAGAGTGTCACCACCATCCCCCTGCCATCCCCCACCGCACTGTCTCCACCCGATGGTGAGTCCTGGGCAGGTGTCTTTCACACACAACCATCTTCAGATGAAGGTGGTTTTCTTTGGATGGCTGAGGTCACAGCAGGAAGGAGAAAGGACAAGAACCAGGGTCTGGGGACACCGTACTCCTTGGAGCTCTCTGGAAAGCAGTTTCAAGGAGTTGGGCGGGCTGAATCTGGCCCTGTGCACCTGGCCCGAGGGGTTGCAACATTCGCTGCCACTGCATTAAAGGTCTAAGCTGCCTGTGAACCCATCAACCTCTTCCCGAAATTCCCCCAAAGCCAGTACAAAGGTTGGCTTGTCAGCAGCTGCCTGATTCCCCGCTCACTGCCCCAGCCAAGTGCAGCAACTTGACTGCCCCGGGCACCAGAGCCGGCGGGACGCAGAGGCCCAGGCTAGGAGTGCCCAGTGGTCCCCCTGCTGGAGCCCGACCTCTGGTTCTGACAGCCCCGTCTAGACACAGGCGTGTTTTCTGCTGGCTACACTCTGGCCTCCTGCCCAGACTTGACCCTGGATTCCACTCAGCAGATTCCAGAATGTTCCCAGAGTCCAGCTGCAGGTGCTTTTTCTGAGGTCACTCAGCTTTTAAATCTGCCTGGTGATAGTCTGGGATCTGGACAGTCCACTGTGCTGCCATGGAGGGATGCACACACTCCAGGCTCTTTGCATTTACTCAAAGTCACCGCTTGCTCTCAGCAGGGGGCTGTGGGCCAGGTACTTCCCCTCCCTGGGCCTCACCCTCACCCTCCACTTGAGTGGCACGGGGTCAGCACCGTTTCCAGTGGCAGACTGACTTTAACTGCAAACCATTCTTGACAATAATGAACTTCTCCTGTCCAGTGCCCCCTCCTCATTTCCTCTGGGAACAGAACCTTCTCTCCTGGGACCTCTTTCTACAGGGATGCATATGAGTGCTAAGACACTTCAGTGACCATATGGACTGTAGCCCGTCAGGCTCCTCTGTCCATGGAGTTCTCCAGGCAAGAACACTGGAGTGGGTTGCCATTTCCTTCTCCAGGGCATCTTCCCGACCCAGGGATCAAACCTGCATCTCTTACATCTCCTGCATTGGCAGGCAAGTTCTTTACCACTAGTGCCACCTGGGAAGCCCTCACATAGGGATGGATGAGAGTAAATGTTTCTGCTCACTATAGAGACAAGTCTCCAAGGGACAACCATACTGACAAATGAGTGGTGGGCAGACACTTGGGTCAGTGAATAAGTGTTCCCTTGGCCTTTCTATCAGAGCCTTTGGGGAAAGCTTTCCTTTCTCTGGCAAGACTAGGGGATGATGAGAGCCTTGCCTGCCCTGCCTTGGCCTCTATGGAGAGGCCAAGAATGACACCAAGCCAAGATGGAGGCAAATCCAGATAAGCGCCTGGATCCAGCCGTGCCTGAAGCCATCATACCCTGGCCTTCTCGGTTATATGAAAAACTGTATTGTGTTGGTTTTCTTTTCTTGTTTTGTTTATTTTTGGTTTTGTTTGGCTTAAGCTGGGTTTCTAAAATTTGCCAGTCATATGGAGAAAGACTCAGAGGTTATATCCAGGTTTATCAGAAGTGAAGCTGGTTTGATTGGGGATATGTGCTATGGACCCTGGATGGGGGAGTGGCATTTTAGTTAATCTATTACCTATGGCCTGTGGCCTATTTGCTGTTCCAGAATTAGGTGATCTTTAATCATCTAGCTTAGCCCATGTAGGAGCCTAGATCTTTGCTGAGTTACTGAGGACTTTCCATGGTCTTTAGCAGACCCAAGCCAAGCCCCTGGACCCTCTCTGGGTAGGCTGGCTTAGCAGCTCCGCCACACTCACTCCTGGTGCCCCCACCCCTGCTTCAGTGAGTACACGGACAGCCAGCCTCCTTTATGCTCCGGGGCGCATCTCAGACCTGGGGGGCAGCAAAGGAGCTCACCTAACAGAAAGAGACCGAAAACAAGAATTTCCCTACAGTTTAAGACAGGCTTGGGTGAGGGGGCAGGTAGGCAGCAGGGCCAACAGGTAGAAAGACAGACACGCCGGGCGCCCCCTCACCAGGTAGGCAATGACGTCATAGCCTTGCTCCTTCAGCCACACGAGGATGCAGGAGGTGTCCAGGCCCCCACTGTAGGCCAGAACCACGGAGCCTTTGCCGGACATCGTGACTAGAGGGAGGCGAGAAGGAATGTGAGTGATCCGGAGCCAGCCCCCGACACCCCGCAGCTCCCTCTTGGCCTTGGGCAGCCTTCTCTCCCAGACAGGCCGCCATGGGGTTTGGAACAAGACGTTCAGCTGTCAACAAGAGCAGCTGAGGAGCTGACACTTCATGCAGCCGCACCTCTTTCACCGCCCCATTCTCCCTGGGAGACCCTGACCCTGCACACCCCCACAGACCATGCTGGAGCCTGGCGGGGGGTGGGGGGGCATGTAGCCAATCCCCCACCAGCTGGAGAAGAAAACAAAAGACTGAGCTGTTGGGACCAAGGTCAGGAGGCCAAGGTCACAGAATCAGGAGACGGGAGGGGCCGTCTCCTGAGTCTCAGGGAGCCCACACAGCTTCTTGCTAAGCTCCTTGCTAAGCTGGGCGAGGCCAAGGCATGGCCCTGGGAGCCGCATACAGATTACCCAGCACGCCCACTCCGACCCCAGGAAGTGGGCGTCATGCCTGCCACTGGGGAGGCGGAGACTGAAGCTTGGAGAGGTCGTGGCTAGCTCGAGGTTGCAGAGCACACGTCTGTCTGGCTCCAGAACCTCAGCTCTTCCCAGGAGGCAGGGTGCCCTCTCGGCTCCATGGGGGGCAGGATGCTGGGGGCAGAGACACGCCCCCCCAGACCTCTTCCACCTGGGCCCAGTGAACATTCACACAAAGGGGTTTTAGGCTCTTTTCAAATGCAGTTACCTCTGAGAGAGGAAACACAAGGGAACCCAAACACCTCAGAGAACTCAACTCCAGAAAGATTAGTTGGGAGGAGCTTGGAGACCAACTAACGCCCCCTGTGCAGAGGGGGATCCGCGGCCCTGTCTCTCCCTGTCCATGCTCAGCTGCAACTGACTCTTTGCGACCCCGTGGACTGTAGCCCGCCAGGCTCCTCTGTCCATGAGATTCTGCAGGCAAGAATACTGGAGTGGGTTGCCATTTCCTATTCCAGGGGATCTTCCCAACCCAGGGGTGGAACCCACGTCTCTCGCGTCTCCTGCATTGGCAGGTTCTTCACCACTAGCGCCACCTGGGAAGCCCATAGCTCATCCCGAGGCCCAGAGGGAGAAGGCAGCTGGGCGTCCGGATGACAGATCTGTCCTTCCGCACCAGGGCAGGTGTGTCCCCCACTGGCCCCTCCCTCTCCTCAGCTACACTGAAGCTTCCAGAAGGTACCAGGGCCTCCTCACTCCTTGCCTTTGCAGCCGCTGTTCCTTCAGCCCCGAAGGCCCTCCCCGAAGCCTCAGGCTACACTTTGGCTTGCCCTGCCTCCCCTGCCATCTCCACGTGGCCCTGAGCAAAGATGCTGTTCTGCATCCGAGACTGAGGGTCAGAGAGGCGGGGTCACTTGCTTGAAGTCCTACGGTCAGCAGGTGGCAGGGCTAGATCTGGATCCAGGCCATCTGGTCCCAGCTTCCCGCACTTACTAGGAATGTGCTTGCTTCTGGTGGGAACGTTTACACTGGAGACTGACCAACGTCACGATCCTCAATAGATGCTATTGGGAAAGGCTGCACTAATCCACGTAAGCCCAGAAGGGGTGTCACCTTGCTCCCAAGTATGCAGGCTCTTATATCCTCAAAGAGTCTGGAGGTTTAGTGGCAAAGCGGTCACCCAGCCCTTTGCAGCAGAAGTCAGCCCAACCGAGGGACAAGAGTGCTCATCCTATGTACTGCAGCTGCTGCTGCTTTAGTCACGAAGTCTTTGTGACCCCATGGACTGTAGCCCCCAGGCTCCTCTGTCCATTCGATTTCCCAGGCAAGAATACTGGAGGGGGTTGCTATTTCCTGCTCCAGGGGATCTTCCCGATCCAGGGATCGAACCCGCGTCTCATGCACTGGTAGGCGGATTCTTTACCGCCTGAGCCACCTGGGAAGCCCTATGTCATCTGCAGTCCCTGGCATCTCACCAGACCGCCCGCCGGCCGGTCTCAGGGCTCCCATGTCCTTCCTGCCCTTGGGACTAGGAAGGGGAAACATCTCATGAACAGTGAGATTGAGGGCGGTTCTGATGGATAAATGTCCAAGACGCCCCCCTTCAGTGGGCATTCATTCAGCCACCTGCCAGGCAGTCCCGGGCAGGGTGGGGCCAGCAGCTGTTCCCATAGCAACCGCAGCTGGGCAACGGGCCATCCAGGAGGGAGGGAGGCAGGAAGGACTCAAGGTAGGAAGTGCCTGAGGTTGAAAGAGTAGATTGCGGCTTCCAGAACCTGTCTTGACCCAGCGGCTGGGTGACACCAGAGGCCGTGAACACAGCTTACCCAGCCCCTGGACTCCCCTTTGGGCAGCCTCGCTGAACGGGGAGACTCAGGACCCCAGAGCCACCTGTCTAGCTCCTAATTGTGTGCTTGTGTGCTTTGACAGGGCTGGATGGGGTGAGGAGAGTAATGTTGCATTATTTGTACAGCTCTGTTGAGATACAAATAACCATAAACTGCATATAGCTAAAAGGTTCGGTGTGTCTACACCCATGAAATCACCACCACAATCAAGATAATGAATGTGTCCATTATAGGTGATGGCCTCCATTTGTGTCATCCCCATTTTAGAGATAGGGAAACTGAGGCTTGCATTAAAGAACTTGCTCAAGGCCTCATTTGACTGCTAAGTGGCAGAGCCCAGATTCAAACTCAGATCAGCTAGACTCAAAAGTACAAGGTTACCCTCTCTGGGGTGGGGTGGAGGAGGGCATGGATCCCTGGGACAAGGTGTGGGGTCTGGGAAGCTGCCGATGGCCCAGACAACCCAGAGTGACAGGGAGAGGTGAGGCAGGCCCAAACTCATCCACCTTCTAGGGGTCACCCCCACTTTGCCAGCCCCCAAAGGCCCTGGAGCCAGAGGATGGGCCCCGGAGTAGGGAAGGGGCAGCCCCATGGAGGCAGACCACCTGGGTCTGCCTGGTTCTGCCTCAGTGACCGCCCCCCCCCACCCTGTGCCGTGCCCCCGTCTGTGGCCCATCACAGCACAGTCACGATGCACTCTGCCCCCACCGCCCGCTGTGAGCTCTGCGGAGACAAGGACCATCTCTCGGTGGCTGGCAGGTGGCAAGCGCTCAGAACAAGCCTGCTGATTTTGCTGTCTGGAGGCCTGCTCTTCACCTATAAAAAGAGAGGGTTAAAATCCCCTCCACGTCTGGAATTCCATGCACGCTCTCATCTGGAAACTCTCATCTGGAAACTCGTGAGCCTCTTCTGTCAGCCAGGACACAGGCGGAGGGCCTCAGCCTCTGGGTCTGAACCTCATGATGGAATGTGTGCACCCTGGAGCGTGTGCCTGCGTGCAGGGATGTGTGTGTGTGTGCGTGCACACGTATGCCTGCATTTCCCTGGGAGCATGTACCTGAGACCGTATGCATGTACCTGTGTCTGCACACACACACACACACACACACGTGTGTGTGTTTGGTGTGTTTGGGCCTGCGTGTGTAGAGATTAGCAGGGCAGGTGGGCTGAGAATATGATGCAATCTGACACTGGCCTTGCTCTTGCCTTCCTGCTGAAGCTCTCCCCTTCCCCCACCAGCAAGGTCCCGGCAGCCTGCTTGCTGCAGAACCTAAAGGAAGCCAAGCAAGCAAGGAGGCCTCGGTTTAGGGGAGAGGGAGTGGAAGAGACTAGCACAGAGTGCAGTGGCTGGGTTCTCCAGACCTGGGTTCCAGGAGCTGAGAGCAAGAACATCCCATCCCCCCACGGAGCAATTGTGGATTCAGAAAGATTCTGAGAGGGGCCCAGAGCCCAGAGCTGGGCACCACACCTGTGCCCACCGAACTCCCCTACCCCTGTTGGGCAAGCCCCTTACTCTCCAAGCCTCAGTATCACCATTGGCACCACCGCCTGAAAGTCCTTCTGGTTCTGACGCCCCAGGACACGGGGCTTCCCGCCTGAGGACTCAGCCATCCTCCCAGCTCGGGCCTCGCCGTCGCCCCAACCTCCAGGGAGGGCACAGGGCAGGTGCCCCAGCTCCCAGGCACACGACCTCTGCTGAGAACATTCATGCCCCTGGTTCCCGGGGCCAGTTCGGCCAACCGGCTGCCAAAGAGGGAAACCTGGGAAGGGAAGAAGGGGGCCTCATTCCAAGACGCCTGCCAGCCTGACCTTAGCTGGCAAGGCAGGAGGCATTCTCCAGGGCTCCAGCCAGAGCCATCCGGCCAGCTCCCGGTGAACGTGCCCCGCCAGCCTGGGCAGTTGCTCAGCACTAGAAAAATTCATGTGGCTCCACAGCGTCAGAGCTAGGATGACAAGAGCAGTTACTATGTTTAGTGCCACACGGGCATCACTTCAAGGTGGGGGATATTATTACCACCTGTTTACAGATGATGAGCCCAGGCTCAGAAAAATTATAAGACTTGCCCAGGTCTCAAGCTAGCGGATGGTGGTGCTGGGGGATGGAAACCTACGCCGACTACAGACCACCTGCTCTTTGCTGCTCTCTGTCCTACACTCTCTGGCCTCACGGGGACCACAGAGTGTCTCCCCTTCACTTGACTTGTCTGTTGTTTAGTTGCGTCTGACTCTTTTGAGACTCCATGGACTATAGCCCACCGGGCTCCTCTGCCCATGGGACTCTCCAGGCAAGAATACTGGAGTGGCTTGCCATTTCTTTCTCCAGGGGATCTTCCCGACCCAGGGATCAAACCCATGTCTCCTGCCTTGAGCCACCTGGGAAACCCATGAATCATCACCAATCACCAATTCTCTGTATGTTGTGGCTACAGCCACCTGACTCTTCCTCAGGAACCCCTCCCTCACATTCTAACTCTGTCGAGCTGGGTTCATTAGTTTTTAAAAACGTTTTAAAAACATTTTTGGTTCTAACTAAGTCATAGAATTCTCTCTGACTTAGGGGCTTGCTCACTTCAGGATTGCAACTTGAACCCTTTGGCTGCCCTCATTCATGTCTGATAGAGCCAGGCTGCAATCCCATACTTTGACCAGGAGGTGCCGCTATCAGGATTCAGCCTGAACGTC